TCGCCTATGTCATGAGGTGGAGCAGACTCAGGAGGAGCTCGAGGCAGAAATCCGCCGGCTGAGCGCCAACATTGATGAGCTGGAGAGCGTCCAGAGGCGCTCCAAGAGCCTGCGGTAAATCTGTGACTATATGTAATTTAATATATTAACTTAAAACAGTAAAATTGGATCCTTACAAGAAAAAAAAGTCACAATATAAGGAGAACAAAGAGGGTTCAAGCTGTTTTACTGTAAAACTAAACATTAAATAAAGAGAATTAGACATTGTGCATTTAACCAAACCATCAAACTTTGCCTCACGAAAAGCTTAATGTTAACACACAATGCAAAATGCTACAGATGGTTAACAAAACTAGCATTGGTGTTGTGGTAGGTATATAAGTGGGGCCTGGCAAATGTGGATCTTTTTCAGGCCCATGCATTTCTAATATTTGGCAGGATAAAATTCCAATAATTAATGAGCCAATTAATTTAAAATACATAATGATTAAAATAACATTTGGTTTGGTCCCTTTGTCGTTTTTTCAGTACTATATCCTTACATATTCGTCATTACAGCAGAGAGAAAAATAGATGATTTTTGGGGGGAGAATGCGTGAATTTCATATATCATTATCTTTGTCTTATGTTGTAATTTGTTAATGTCTAATAATTTTTTTTAATTGTCTAATCAACAAAACAAAAATCAGCCTGTCAATTAATCAGTGGAGCCTGAGTTATAATTCAATAAGCAGTGGATATTTGAAGTCTTGCGAAATTAAGGCTTAAATTTTTTTTTCTTTTTGGTAGCATTCCCAAGATTTTTTAAAATTCATTTTAACCCTTAAAAAAATTAAATTAAAAAAAATACTTTTTACGAATTCTCTTATTACAATTTCCTTCTTTGAAAACTGGGTTCTTGTCATAGTACTACATTTTTCTTGTCATGAGGTAAATTTGGACTTTTACAATTTAGTGACGTTTTCTTGTAAATTTCAACTTCCTTTTATTTTTCATCATAGCTTTACTTTTTATACTTTTATCTTAAAATAATTGTAAAATTATCTTTTCATCTAATTTAATCTTTTTGCTTGTAATATCTTAACTCTTTGATCACCATACATTTTCCATAAAACTTTACTATTCAAGTATTGCAACTTTATACCTTATTACTATACAATTGCATTTTTGTAAAATTAGGACTTCACTTCTTTGTTCTCAAAAAATGTTTTTTTTTCTCATTACATTTTGTCTTCATACCATGGCCTTATTCTCATTCAAATTCAAAAACCTTTTCTTCCAACTTGATTCTTATAGTTCGATGACATTTTTCTCTCGCTCATCTGTTGTGTGTGTGGACTTCAGGCACAAAGCCAGTGAGCTGGAGAAACAGTTGGAGTCATTTACGAAGCAGTACCTGCAGCCTCAACAGTGAAGTCAATCCTCTCAACCTTTTTTTCCACTGAAAGGCACAAACAATCCATCAAGAAAAGCATTTTTCCAAATCTTTACAACCATAAAGGTTATATATGATTCTGTTGTCTGTTTTGCATTATAAATTGATTTTTATTATTGTTTAAGTCTGAACTTGTCCACTCCATGTCTAACGGTAGTATTAAAAAAAGAATACGAACTAACCAACTAACTAATGGGGTGCTATTATTGTACACTAATGTGCTACAAACTGTGAATATGCCTTTTTTTGACAAACTTTTGTGAAACCAATTCTCTTTGTGTCTGTCAGACTGTACATGCGTTTTAGCAAGAAAAAAAATAAATACATTTAATATGAAAGATATTGGTGATCTAGTTCACATTTATTGTATAAATACATCACTTGATGAAAGCTATTTCCTCGAAAGGTTGACCAAGAGTTGCTTATTTAGGCAACTGCACTGAGTGCCATTTTATATTTCCCACTCCTGAATGCTCCTTGGCACATAGCGCTTTGTGTATAAACTCCAAACCTAAACTTCAACTTTATCGATGCCACATCTGCTCAGTACTTGTGTGATTATGATGCCTAGGCTAGAGTATGGCATTTGGTCAAGTGGATTATGCACGAATAGGAGCACTGACACTATTTCAGGAACTACAGTACTATAGTTTGTGGAAATTGAAAGTTTGAAAAAAGTCACTACAAGTTACTATTTTCTTGCAATTGAAAGTTTGAAAAAAAAACATGTACATTGAAATCACTCATATCAATTGACTTAAGCCATTTGAATGAATGGAAATGTAATTAATCCATTCCACTCCGCCAAAATCCCCTCAAAATGTTGTACTTTTTAAAAATAAAAATAGCATTATATAGTATTGTAATATATTAAAGTTACTGGAAAAAAAATCTACACTTATTTCCACAGAACTTAATCTTCAGATTTTTGTCACAATTTTATGATACAAAACTCGAACTGTTCAAGTCACCTGCATGCACAACTTGCTTGTGTTTTTTTGTGATTTCAAGCTTTAACTCACTCTCATCCACTTCACACTTTTTTGGTACATTTCCCTGCTGCCTCTCATCACAATGCTGCAGCCATATTCTGCCACAAGTCACACTATCAGTCAAAAATCCCAAGTATTAAATTCTTTGTCAAAAGCTTTTTTTAATTATTATTATTGATGACAATAACTCATGGCAACATATCAGTATCACCAAGCCACTGTACAAATACAAAAAAAAAAGATCTGGTGTGAAAAAGACTATAAAAATTATTCTATTTGTAATTATTTCACACACTAGCACTGTAAGAGAATGATCATGGCACCAAGTCCCTGGTCATTACTGGCTTAGAACAGGAAACAATAGACAGGAGATAACAAAGCAACGTAGAATCAAAAAGGCAGTGCATTGTTCGTGATAGTACGGTGGCCATGGGTGTAGCGGGTAATGGCACTGTCTGCATGCGTTTGTCATGTTGAATAACTCGAACGTTCTATTTTATGTTGGCACTGAGGTTGACACGTGTCCACGTAGAAAACTACAGTATTGTTGTTTAGGCTGTGGTACTCCCATCCCACCCAAAAAAGCTGTTGCAACAGCTTCATAAGCAAAATCTGTACTGAAACACAGAGAACATACAAAAGTATGAAATTAAATCAAACCAAGCACCTTTTGTTATTGACTTTTCATGAGTACAAGCAGTTTACTCGAATGGCAGTCAGCTTGCTAAATCATCACTGGAAACGGAACAAATGAGCCCATTTACATTTGGTGCGTTGCTCAGAAAGTCCAATTTCATTCAAGTCAAAGTCCAAGGTGAAAGTAAAGCTGGAAAAGAAATTAACTGAGAAACATTTTAAGCTCCTGAATATTTTCATGGTGTTGTCGCCATCACCGTAAATTAGCTGGTTAGGTTAGCTAGCGAGCTGTGCCAGGAAAGAAATTGTCACTCATTAAAAACCAAAATTAAACAATTTACCTCCAAAGTCCAATGCCCACAAAGTGCTACCAAAACAAGTACATTTGATAACCATAGAGCAGGTAATGGAACGAATTGTGAGGTCAGAAAAGGTCTGAAGGCTTATGATTAGCAAGAAGCAGCTCTTCTTGTTCTCTCGGTTACATGTTTTTTAAATGAGTAATTTTAATTTTGGTTTTATTAAAACAAATGATTTTGAAATGGGAACAACTTCAGCAATTGTTAAGGTTTCACTGTGAGACATTCATTTGTTAGCTTTAGAGGCGCAGGGGTGAAAGGCTGTTTTGTGCTAAACAAAACTGGCTAACTGGCTACAAGCTAACAGCAGTAACATACCGTGTTTCCCCCAAAAAACGTTTTAAACCAGTGATTCCCAACCAGTGTGTCGCAAGTTCGCAAAAAAATAAATAAAATAAAGATGCACACTGTTGAAATGCATCTTTGCAAAACTATCTAGGCTACTGACGTACTGTACCACGCACGGCAGGCAGAATAACTAAACTTCCACTAAATGGCAGAAGGTGAATTGAATCTGCATGTCCACTTTTTACATTTTTTCTCATGTAAAATATGTCCTTGGCTCAATCAAGGTTGGGAAACACTGCTTTAAACCGTTGCAAGTTAGCATCCTGCAGCAATTGGCACAGCTCAAGGTCCATGAATGACATTGGCACAAAATTAATCAATCAACAAGTTAAGCGCATACATACACATACGCACTCACACATCACATTCAACACCTCAGAGATTCCCAAGATAACTATTAAGTTCATATTCTATTCCAACACAATAAAAATGCAGTGATCCTCAAAACGTAGCAGACGTGAGTCACTGCCCAACTACAAGACAAGGCAGCTTTATTGATGTTGCACATTTCATACACAGGACTCAGTTGTACTTAAAATTTAAATACTTTTTAGGAACAAAACCTGATTACCAACTACGCTTTATTTTAGGTGATAGTGAAATAAAGTTTGAGAACCATTGCATTAATGCGCGCACGCACACACACACACACACACACACACACACACACACACACACACACACACACACACACACACACACACACACACACACACACACACGGTGGCTATAGAATCCTTGTATGTTCATTGACTGAACCTTAATGAATTGTCACAAAGTGTAAAGCTGAATATTGTACCAAAAATTTGAAGTCGAATTAATTATACACAGGCTCGTGTTTGTTGACTACAAGTGCGCCTTAGTGTTCACGAGTGTAACCGTGTGCTTCAAGTGGGCCAGTGGAAAGGTACAAGTGCCTCTATTCAAGACTTTGATTTGTGGTGATGGTGGAGGCGGATGTAAGGCAGAAAGTGTCCAATGTTTGGACACAGGCACCTGAGATGACACATGATAGGTCCAACAACTCAATGTTAAGCTTGTTTTTTTTTAAGACTGCAGTGCTTCTCAACTAGTGGTTGAAAAACTACATTGATAAGATAGATATTTATATAAAATTCATACAGGTATATGCATTAAGCATGTTAAATTCATCAGCGCTCTGGATTGGAGGCAAGATAAATGACGGAGGGGATTTTTGTACATTAATTTAAAAATTGACAACACTCCGGTCAAGCGTGGCTCAATGTAATGTGCGCAGCTTTTATATTTTATAAGTGTGGCCTCATTTAACTTTAACTACAAGATTTCACTCTGAGCATTTGGGAAAAAATTGAGATGGCATAATTATTTCAGTGTGTATATACACCGTATACTTTTTGTGACTTTTTTTCATGCGTTGGTGTGCTGTGAGATTTTTTTTTTCCCAAATTGACTTGGGGTGGAGGGGGTGTGGTGGATGGCTATATGTCCTGGGTTCGGTAAGTATAAAAGTGGGTGGTGACTTAATGGCCATATAAAAACTGGGGGAGACCAGTTGAGAAGCTCTGCTTGGGACGAGCCACTGAAGAAGCAAAAAGGGGGCAAGGTTGTGTGTAAATCACGGGTGGGGAACCTCCTTCCAATCATAGTGCTGTGAGTGTCATACCAATGATAATTTATGATGAAATTCTGTTATCGTGACAATTATTATATATACTATAGCAGAGAGGTTCCCCAACCCTGTTGGAAGTGAAGTTGTATGTGCTCAGTTGTTGAACTCCAGTTTGTGAGTGCATTCCCTAGCATTTCTCTTTGACACGATGTCCACGAGCAGTATTAACAGTTCACAAAAAATGGGTTCAGAAACTCAACATAAAATACAGAAAATGTTCCTAGACTTGTTTTTTTTTGGGGGGGGGGGGGGGGGGGGGGGGCGAGTGGCACCTTACTTCAGGTCCTTGCAGTTCACACTGGGACTTGATATTCCTTCATTTGTTTTCTTTGAAAAAGTCCAAGAGTCACTGCAGTCCTTGTAGGTGGTGGTCCACATCACTTGTGTGCTCCACAGGCAGAGCTTTCCCCAAACACAGCCTAACTTTTCTCGGATGTCGGTTGGTGTGGACTTGAGTGGCAAAAGCACCATTTCACGTGGCAGGCTTTCTCAAACCGAGCCCAAAATGGCCTACAATTCCATTTAAATTGGCAGAAAGAATGCTCGAAGTGGAACCATTTTTTTGGAAGGTGGGGAGAGGGTAGGAATTTGGTGCAGCGAATTCTCTCACAGCTCTGTGACAAATTGCTTTCTCTTGCGGTGCAGTACCGGGACGGTGAATCCCAGCCAGTGTGCCGTGGTACACTGTTGTGATGGGAGAGATCATGAGGGGTGCTGAGGGAAATTATTAGCCATTTGTGAAGACAACTGATTGGCATTTTGCTTTTTACTGGACACTCTTCTGTTTTCAGCTGTGCTGGAGCCAATTTGTCTCTACAGTACTAACAAATTACTTTTGCTCCATTTTAATTTTTATTTTTGCATCATCACTCACTAGTCCGTACAGTAAATTTACTGTACTTGACATGTACAGTGTGATTAATGAGAAGCGATCGACGTCACTTGGTTTGTTGTGGCACATTTGGAGTCTTACGGATCCACCTCAGCTCTCCATTGACTAGCTGGCAAACTCCCTCTAAACATGCGCGGCAATCTCCTTCCTGTGCTGATGAATGCCAGAGTTCCTCTTCCACTAAATATCATCGGACATTTGCAGGGACACTTGCGATGCCCAATGTCACTGATTATCGTGTTTTCTGGGGAGCGCTTTTGCCCGGAGCACAGGCCGAGAGTTTGATGCCATGCGGCTGTGTCATAATGGCAATAAGTAGAAAGAAAACACGAAAGCCTAAAGTGATTAAGAAAAAAAAATATTGGAAATGAAAATTATAAACATTATATATATGCATACATGATGCATATATACACACACGCACACACCTTTACATATATACTGTCTTTTTATATATAAATTTACAAATTACACGCATTAGAGAAGATGATGCTTTTTGTTTGTTTTAGCAATTTATCCCTTGACTGTTTTTGATTGGGCTGCTTGAAAATATTCAGGTTGCTGTGTAGGGGGAACAAAAGGCGAAAAGATTGTTTCAAGGGCTACACCGTGGATGACTCCTTCAGCTCTAGCCCTGCATGAGTCAGGTTAGGTTGCGTGAAGGGTGGTGTGGGGGATGGCAGGGAAGGGGGTGGGGGGTAATTCAGGTGCTGATGGAGGACAGCCCAGAGGAGGTTGGCTTCATTTAGTTCCAGATCCGCAGGAAACTGTCCCAGGACCCGGTGCCCACAGCCATGCCGTCCTCCGTGACGCCCAAGCAGCTCACCCTGTTGTCGTGGCCGGCGAGCACGCCTGTGTGACAAACAATAAGTCAGTCAAGCTTTCTCGGTCACCAGAAGTCTTCAACACCACCACAAAAAAAATGTCAGAAACCGTTTTTTTTTTTTTTATTAAAACGCCTCCAAAAAAACTTTGAATGAAAAATACTTAGCGTTTCCTTTAAAGTTGAAATTTTATACCAGGTCCAGCACACAAGTCGGATACAAGTCGATTTCTTGTATAACAAAAAAATAAAAAAAATGCATCTTATGTGAAGCCACAATAAACACACATCCATTTTGTGGTCGTTTGCTGCCGTCCTGTGACTCATTCGTGATACTACATAGAGCATAACAATCATTTCTCCAGTAATATTTAGGCAGTACTTTTTATAGTACAAAATCTTAGAACTATCAACGTACAAAAAACACCACCCATACTTAGCTTCACGATTGTATTTTTCTTGTTGTGGGATTATTCACTGCAAATTCCGCACGTCATATAGTAGTTGTGCATTCTAGTGGGGTCTAGCCCATGAAAAGGCTCCACATACCTGCCCGTTCGCCTTTCAGAGTGTCCCAGACGTTGCAGTTGAAGTCGTCATAGCCGGCCAGCAGCAAACGGCCGCTCTTTGAGAAAGCCACGGATGTGATGCCGCAGTTGATGTTGTCATGGCTGTACATCATCAGCTCCTGGTCAGCACGCAGGTCAAACAGCCTGCAGGTGGCGTCATCTGAGCCGGTGCCAAAGGCATTGCCATTGGGGAAAAACTGCAGCAAGGACGAAAACAGGCAAATCAAATGATTTGTAGATTTTTTTACTTCAATCACATTAGATTACAGGACACTTGGTTCTATCCAAGTTTAAAGTCCCCTCAATGTGGCACCAGAAGAGTTTTTGTGCAGGATTGACTAATTCTCTTAATCTGCATCTTCAGTGGCTGTTTATCTACATGGGGGGAGGGGGGGGGATTAGGGATTTGGTGCCACGTGGGAAAAAAATGTCTCTTGGTTCCTCACCACTTCAATACCTCAAATTAAACAACATTTTATAAGGGCCCCGTGAGTCATGATTCTCCCCCTGACGGAACCCATGTCCACATGATGTTACTGTATCACTTTTGCTGCAGGGGAGTTTACATTTTACATTATGCCCAGCTCAAACCCAGTTTTTTCTTCTTTTTTTTAAATGTAATTCACGACTGTCGTTCTGACAGATTACCGGATAAATTATGACTGCATCATGACAAATCAGTGATGTTGTTACAATGGTACACCCCAAGGTGGCCAAGTGCTTACTCCAGATAGAGCATCAAGCACAATGTCTAGTGAATTATCATGATGCACAAACCTTTATTCTTTATTGTATTTAATTATGTCATTACTTTATGGTTGCATAAAGTACAATACTGTGACGTTATTACAAAAAGTGGACGCGCCAGAGAATAATCTGGCCATCCTGGGATAGGAAGTACTAAAACTATAAATAATTTATCAGTCTGACACCTAAAGGTAATCTCAGGCAATCAAAAAAAGAAAATGCCACATCAACCATTTTAGTAAAGAATTTCCTTCACGTGTGTGTCTGTGTGGGTGTGTACGTGTGTGTGACTCACAGTGACAGCATTGATGTCGGACACATGGCCAGTGAAAGACTGCCTGCACATGGCGTCACGAATGTCCCACAGCTTGGAGGTGGCGTCACAGGCTCCAGACACAAAGGTCTTGTAGTCTGGGCTGAGAGACAAGCTCATCACATCCCCCGTGTGGCCGGTGAATGTTGTGGCCTGCTGGCCTGTCTCTATGTCCCACAATGCGCTGGAAGGGAAAGAGTGTTCATGCTGATTGAGCACTGAATCTTTATTAACTCCCATTTTCCATAAGAGGTATGGGATGAGTGAATGTTTATAGCGGATCCCAGTTTTAGTTTCAATTGTGAAATTGAATTTCATCTTGGATTTATGTGACCGTGAGTGGGCTGAACATTTGGTCAATTCTTCAGCAATAAAAATAAAAAAGGAAAAAAAATTGAAAGTTACACACTGTATTTTGCATCAATACATGTGTTCTCGGTTTTCATTCCTACGGTGAGAACCCACAACCCGAACCTCCGGATGACTGAGCTTCTCTAACGGAGAGATATTACCAGGGAGGCCGAGGAGTGTGATTCCTCTGTAATTGGAACACACCCTTCGATCCCCCTTCTTACAGAGGCACTACACCCGATGTCCATGCGATGTTGTAGAGGCGTGTCAACCAGGACAGCCCCACAACATGCAGAGCCTTTAGGAACTCCGGGCGGATCTCATCCACCCCAGGGGTTTTCCCACCAAGGAGCTTTTTGACCACCTCAGTTACTTCAGCCCCAGAGATGGGAGAGTCCACCTCAGAGCCTCCAGGCTGTTTCCTCACTGGAAAGCATGTCAGTGGAATTGCGGAGGTTTTCTAAGTATTCTCCCCACCGTCCCGAGTCGAGGTCTGCAGCGCCCCATCTCCACCATACACAGTGCTAATGGTGAACTGCTTCTCCCTCCTGAGACGCCGGATAGTGGACCAGAATTTTTCATGGCCTTTCTAAACCCCTCCCACACCATGGTTTTTGCTTCAGCGACCGCTTAGCCAGCCAGTATCTGTTAGCTGCCTCTGGGGTCCCACACATTAAAAAGGCCCGAAAAGTCGATTTAAATTCAAGGATATCTTCTGTTATTCCCCCTTCTTTTGTACTAATATTTAACATACATAAATATATTCAAGTAAATACCTTTACACCATAATTTCTTTCAAAAGAACCTGTCCATATAGCCGTAACTGGTGTAAAGTATTAGACAACAGACATGGCTGCTTCATTTCCATATAATGCTAGACCGTTATCAAACACTTTGTAATATGGAATATAGAGTGGCAGTCTTACACCATAAACCAAAGTGCTATTTTGTGCACCCTTTCATGAAAACTAGATTTATGCATGGAACATTAGGAGGTAAATGCACACTCACCAGGTGGTGTCTCCAGAGCTGGTCAGTATCTGGTTGTCATCCAAGAAACGACAACAGGACAAATAACCTGAAAGAAGAGACATGAACTATTTAACATGACTCATGATTACATTACTCTGACTACACTTCTGCAAACTCATCCAGCACAATGTGTGTGTGTGTGTGTGTAAAACTAGGCGCAACATACAGTAGACAACGACAATGGACCCAGATGTTAACATTTCCGCTGTCTCAGAATCATGTTTATTGTCCAAGCATGTAAAAAACACAAAGAATTTGTCTACGGTAATATAGGCCGCGCTGTATTGCAATAATAAGCAACTACGATAAACAAAGACATGACATAAGTATAGAAAGACTTGTTTACCTCATCAAACAATAGATCAGTAACTCAGGAAGTCTCTCTCACTGACCTCCAAAGAGAATTTGTATTTAGCTTTTTTTACCCTCAATCATCTTATACGGAGTGCTTTCCGACGCTCTTCCACAAGAATGCAAGACCATTGTTCTGCCCACCTGTATGACCCGGTAGCTCCCGGGTGACACGCACACTGCCCTCGCGGGTCTTCAGGCTGTATATGGAGCAGATGTTGTCCAGGCCACCACAGGCCACATAGTTCCCAGAGGGAGCATAGGCGCATGTCATCACCCAGGAAGAGCGCAGGGGGATAGCATGCATCTGTGGATACCAACCGCCTTTTTATATTAACACTGCCGAGAAATTATTAAAGGTGTGAACTGTTAAATACATTTTAAGGGTGTTCTATCTTAGTTAACTGCCGCCTGGCAGTTTTCTGACCTTATTTGTGGTGTAACTGTCCCAGATGATAAGCTTTCCATCTTGCGAGGCACTGACAAGAAGCCTAAAAAGAATAACAGAAAAAACAAAGAGGCATTGTGTGCATGCATTGTACATACATTGTACTATGGTGCATGCATCTGGTGCTTTCAAAGCGATGACAGGCAGACACCGTGCGTGCTCTGTGTAGACAAAATTTAAGGTGTATTGGCAGAATGCATCAATCTTGTGCTCCCTTCTATCTCAGTCCTGCTTCATGTAATATTAGTCACAATGGAATCTTGATGAGTGAGGAAAAAAAAAAAAACAACCAAAAAAAAAAAAGAAACTGCAAATATGAGAAATCTAGAGGAGGAAGAAAATGAGAAGGGGCGGAGAGTACTGGAGGAGACAGAGCAATGCCCAAGTAGTGCAAATGTGGAAACACCCCGACCGCATGTTTCCTGCTCTCTCGGGACAGGAAGTGGCTTGATGGGGATGTGCTACAATCAAGCGGGGATCCACCGAGCACAAATGTCAGTAGCTGTGTACAAAATAAACTCCCTGCTGGATCACACAGAGTGTGCACACATGCTGGATAAACTGCCATCTCAATCATCCACATAATGTTAAAAAATGGTTAGTACATTTGCCTTTGATAAAAAGGTTAAGGTTGTAGAATTCCCCCAGAATGCACATCATAAAAATAGAAAGCCACTGCAGGGACTACATGCACATGTAAAAAATAATCATTCTTAGTGCAAGAGTTAAAAACGCAGTTTGTATGCTTTTTATGATGTGGAAAGTCCATGTGCACAAACACAGTTGGACCACCAGTTTAGACTGTGACTATTTCTGAATCATTCAAGTATTGGAAAAGTTCTCAAACTGCATCTGTAAGGTGGTATTCAACAAGCTGTGTTTGATGCCGCTGTCCGTGCACTGCAAACACCACCCGTGTGATAGGAATGGGAAGCTAAATCTGTGCTAATAAGTAAAAGTGGAGGTGCCAGTGTCATTCACTTATGGTGGTATTAGTCTTATTAGTAGAAGTAGTGGTAGCAGCTCTACATAGCCCCACACCTGGGACTGCCGTCACTGGCCCAGTGCATCGCGTTGGGAGAGAGATGGACAGAGACAGAGTTTAAGACAAAGACACGGTTTAAGACACATACTGTACAAAGACACAAAAATACTGATACTCAAACATATACTGTATTGTATCACTTGATTACACACACCCAAGACATCCACATAATATACTTGGGTTCAAATGTGCTGTACATAAACACAAGAGGTTGGATAAAGCTACGACAGTATCTGCTTTGTCTGAGGAAGAACTACACTACCTGGAGTCACTCCCCCAGTGCATTGCATAGATCTTGGCCAGGTGGCCCCTGAGAGTGCGTCGCGTCCGCATCTGTATCCGGCCCACTGAGTCCAGACCAGCTGTGATCTGCCAAAACACAGGAAGGAGTGTCAGTAGTTACACGCACTTATCACTGAAAACGCACACCACTGGATTCTACCGTAAAGCTGCGTTCAAAACAGGATCTGTCAACAATGGATGTGAACAGCCCATCAGGAATCAGAATCAGTTGCATATTTTTTAACACTTTTGAGTCCATGTCGATAAATAAATCAAATCACAATACAGCAACTGCGCATGCCTTTTTGTGCCACATGCTGTCATGTTCTTAAGTTGCAAGTTCATTATTGTGGATACCTCGGAATGCCTCTTGACAGTAAATTTATGAGCCCCAAAATTCAAACTTCCCACAGTTTGTACATTTAGATACAGACCAAAGTTCACTGGGAAAATTGTGCCTCAGGAGTCAGCAAAATATTCGTAATCAAGTTAAACCGGAATCATGCGCCATGTCTGGCTAGACTTACATAAACTCAGTGAGGGTTAACTCTATGCGTTCTTTGATGTTCATTCTGCAACATCATCATCAATTCTTTTAAAAAAGAAATACACAGGCCATACCACAAGATGCAAACCACTCGTCAGCAAAAGGAATTGTAAGGCCAGAAGAGATTTTGCAAAGAAGTACAGACATTTTATGGGCTGATTAGACCAAGATGAACATCTACCAAAGTGATAGAAAGGTCAAAGTATGGAGAAAGAATGGGTCTGCTTATGAGCCAAAACACACAAGCTCATCTGTGAAGTATGGTGGAGGTCATGTCTTGGCGTGGGCTTGTGGCCGGCCCATGGCAGTTGGGCTAGGCTCCAACATGTGCGTGACCCTTGTGAGGAAAAACGATTTGTCGCCTTAATTATGTCCGTTCCCAGACTTTTGCTCACTTCAAAACTAGGTGACTTCATACAAAAGGTGCTCTGTCCCAAGTGGCTTAACACATCCAGATGTGAATACCATGAAAAGAGCTGGAAATCTGAACTTTTGTGATATTGACCTTTTGATAAGTGAAAAATTATTTGCCAAAAACAAAGTTAAACAGTTTGAATATTCAATATATTGTGTTTATAGGGTATTCAATTTAATACAGGTTGAATATGCTTTGCATTTAATCTTATTCATGTTTAACAACAGCCCAACTTCATTGGAATTGCGTTTGTATAAAACCCAATCTTTTTCACCTGATACTGGATCAGGTGAAAATCACGTGATCAGCCCCGATTTCTGATCATATGATCGAATTGGGACATCCCTAAAAATAATTTGCTCTCATTCTCAAAGTGGGATCCCCCACTGAATACATGCACTTGAATTAAAGGTTGGATTTGCCTTTCATTTTTCAAATCTTTGTCCTTTTTATATATACAGTATATATATAAATTAGAAGCTAAAAAACACATCTTAACAAGGGGTGTCAATAATTATGGAGCGCAGTGTGGTTTTTCTTGACTTCCACTTACCTGTGACAAAGTAGAGTCACTGCAGGCTTTCCTGGCATCCTGCGGCGAGCAAACAAAAACGACATTTTAAAACAGCAACACGTGCACCATGTGTTACAAAAAAAAAGGGGGGAGACAAACACATGGCATGTGTCACTGTCACTTACGAAAGTGTTTGCGTCATAGCGTACAGTGAAGACAGTCGCTCACATGTGATGAATATGCACATTCAGGCAGGAGCGTGTATAGGATTTTCAAGCTCACAATAATTATTATTATTATTATAATATATGCTCTCACGTGCCGTGCCGCATTGCACTTTCGGGTTTATATTAATGCTATCTGATTATAACTTTTGTAATGGTATAATATGGTATATAAAAATCTATTCAGTGTAAAACATTACATATTCATACAATGTGTAATCCATTTAACTGTAATATTGGATACATGTGGGTCTCATGCAGTTAACTGGTGTCTGGTTTTCAGCTAACTATTTCCTTAAAAGTACACATTTTTGAGCAAAGAAAACACTTTCAACTCACACTGACTTTTTTTAAATTATATTGTAGCATCATTTGACATTTTCTATTGAACAAACAAAAACAAATTCAGCAAGTTATGATTTTTGAGGTGTGCTCATTCTAGAGGTTGAAATAAATGCACCCAGGCATTGAACTACACACAATATCGTCGTACCCGGATCTGATTGCGTAGTTGATCTGCCTCCTGCCGCAACTGTTCCAGCTCACTCATTGTGCCGCAGATGTCTTCAGGTCACAAGCCACACACTAAATGCTGACTGCGTGAGGAAATCGCACTCTCTCTCGCATACACGCTCACACGCACCCACACAAAGACAGACAGAGATGGACACCCGCACTCTCTTGCCTGCAGACACCTGTAAGAAAAAGAGAGTGTAACAATTAAATTCAGCAGACACATGCAAAGAGTTACTCATCCTTCCATCAAACAAATGTACTGTATCCTGTTTGGAGAGCAGCAAAGGGTGGAGCAGGGCTGAGGCCTGCCAGGCGGTCTGGCTCTTCAAACACCCCCAGCATGGTTCAAAAAGGCCATCTGAGACCCACTCTGACCTTTAACACACACTAAGCATTTTGGGTTGTTGCATTGTACCGCAATCATACAGTACAAGTTGGCCAGCAAAAGAGTAAGCCCTTTCACAATTTCATAAAGGTAGGCATTTTTTCCTGCCCTTCTTCCGTCTTGCTCGTCTGTATGAATAGCACTAACCTGGATAAATTTTCTCTGTCTCACAGTTGGTAAAAGAGGCGGTGTGACACGAGAATGGAAGGACATTCCTCAATGCTGGGTAACCTTCCACCAATTAATCGGCTATATCAGATGGGCCAATATTTTGTATTTACGCACATTTTATGATCGGCTATAATGTCTTCATTTGCCAATCCGCAGTGTTTCCCCACATATATTAAATTTCTTTTGTTGTGCAGAGATTCCGCTCGAACGCTTGTGTGCATCTGCCACCGCTTTCTTGTTCCGTACGATACTGAAAATGCAGTACCTATCAAACGTGTCTTTTTTTTCCCCTCTTCAGTTTCAGTGGTATCAGAGGCATCACCATTTTTTCCCAGTATCGATCCCCCCATGGCATTTCAGCAAGCATTATGGCCATCTCGTCACAGCACACTCTGTGCTACTCATGTGTATTAGTGTGTATTTTCGCTTAGGAGTGAAAACTAAGTAATCACTCAAAATTTGGGCAAAGCCTATGTAGTCATCAGGAACTTCTGAGTTTAGCTGGCAAAAGACGTCATCCTTCCGTCCCTCTCCAAGACAATTAAGGATAGAGGTCATCGATACAGGAGGTTTTTAAAAATTCACCCCTGGGTGCAGTTTCGTACCACGGCTCTGTACCTATCCCTTGTCAGCAGCACAATTCACTTCATTCTGCCATGCAGAAGTTATGAGTCATAAAGCCACAAGTTACATTCTTCATTAAAATCATTTCGGAAGAGTATTTTGTTGTATTTTTGTTTCTTTTGTATTGTATGATTTGACGGCTGCTACACATTGTTACCAAAAAAATCAAGTTCGACCTGTTAAATAAATATTTACTATTCAAAATCACTTGTTTTTCTGCCTCCTTTGCTTCCTTGGGGCATGGCAAAGATTGTTAAACATTGGCAGAAATCCTTGAGAATACTTTTGTTGATCCTCTGTAAACAATTCACAAGTTTTGTACAGTCTTAATAAACGAGCTATTTAAAAGGACCTAATGCTCTTTCATATCATGTTTCCGGATCTAGTGATCGGTTTATTTAAAGTCGTGATTGGTGATCAGCCGCAAAAATCCCGACTGTGTCAAGTCTAATGCTGGGAGAGGTGTGTTGAATACATATTGCAGTATTTTACTCATCACACCAGGTGCCGGCATTTACATCTGCGCTCATCTAATTGAGGGACGATGCTGTGTCACAGTGTGAAAGCACACGCAGTTGTGGAAATGTCTTGCTTCACCAAATCCGGTTTAAAATGCAACAGTGTACAGTTTTGCGGGATCTCCTGTATCTCAACACAGCACATTAGTGAGAACACTAATAATTGCAAGTTTTGAATGACATGTTCTTCCATATCCTTGCTCATGTTTTTGTCCATAATAAAGGTCCCACTTTAAATTTCGGCAAGGGTCGCTTTTTCAAAGAAGCCAAGAAGAGAAAACATCTCTGCCAGAAAAAGGAGCACAGCTATATCGAAGTTAGAGTTGATTGTGACGAAGCTGAAGCTTTCTCCATTTATGGAGGACTTATGCTGTTTGTTACATAACAAAGCAAGATTATGCAAAGACTACTTAACAGTAATTGATTTCCAGGAAACTTTAGAGGTGAACTATGATCATGGGCCAAAGAAGTGCCATTAAATGAGGAGTTGTACAAGTAGAGTTGGTCCAAATAAGATTCGTTTTGACTAGGACAAGATGGAGGTCTCAGCGTGAGTCATTTTATCTAAAATATTTCTGGTGTCAGACTACACATCTTTACATGAATGTGTGTGTCCATTCGTGTGCATGTAGCCCCCTTCTTTACCTTGGGGAGCCTGAATGTGGGTCACAGAGCACTTAGAAAGTGCTTCCCCACTTTAAGACAACTCTCTGAGATTAAATTTTCAGTTCCACTTTCTATAATTCAACAATTACAGCTTATCCATCCCCTTTCTCTTCCTTCCTGGAAATCAAGCAAATGTCAAGAGTGAGAAGTTTATTCCTTTGGATTAAAACCGCTGTTAGCTCTGAACGGAGCCCAATTACTGTCACACAAGCTGCATTTCAAGTTCTGTAACTTGCTTTTCCAACGCATGGCCGGCTTTTCTCAGCTCAGGAGGTATCAGACTGGAATGACGTGTTACTGCGGCCAAGCAATGAAATTGTTTCAGCTGCCCAGGAAAGACGTCACACTCTCCCCCTGGCTGACGCAACTCCCCTGAAGAGAGAGAGGCTCTTGGAGCTGGCTAACCTGTGACGTGCATTACCTTAATAAAACAGACCTGCATGTCATTCAAAGTACCGTGTCATCCAAAACACCTTGCGGTGGATGTGATAAATGACCGGCCAGAATTTTCAACACATAAACTACTTGAAAATATTCAAGACTTTCAAACATCTCTTCCCTATGATGGTGGTGGCTAGACAGTAGACACTCGCTAAGACTAATATTTACATAAACATAATGGCCACTAATGTGCAAACAGTTTTTTCGAAGCTGAGTGGAAAAGCAGTTCTACAAATATTAGAATTCATTCAAGAATCGGACTGAAACAGATTTGTAACATGGATGCTACAGTGAGAAATACTGTAAACAAGCTATAATTGTCTATTAATTCAGTTATAGGTGCATCACTTCTTGAATCAATGGTTACAAAAGTAACCTGTGACCAAAGGGCACCAACTTCTACGCCCCCAAATGGCATAGGGTTTTGACTGTCAATTTAGGTATACTTCGTCATTCCACCTTGGCTGAGTTATCCTTCCTTCAACAAATCTAGTGTACCCGATACATCAAATTCAAGCAAGAAGTTAACCTGAAAATCTAGACATAATACTTATGAACTATTATACTCGCAGGTTCATCAATCGCAAGAAGACCTGAATCTAGCTAGTCATTGCGAGCATCCACGCTTGGGGGGGGGGGGGGGGGGGGGGGGGGGGGGGGGGGGGGTACTGAGAGTGCACACTGACCGTAGTCAGGTTTACAAGGAGCCAAGCATTTTGATTAGAATGGATACGAATGAACACACGGAATGAAAATGCTCCATATAAACACCTCAATCGGAATAAAAAGGCAGAGTCTTAATGGTCTTTCATTTGGATTCATATTCCTTTTGCCAGTCCGAACAAGCGCCATGTAAACAGTTCAATAGCCAAGCTGCATCTGGTCTGTGCATGCTCCGTCTTGACAAACGCGGAGTGACATTGTCATATACGGCCTTGAAGATGGCAGCAGCGTACCGGAGCTCTTCTGTAACAGGAGAAAAAATTTTAAAGTACTTGCAACCTGTTTTTATCAAGATGTTGCTTTAATAAAAGTGTTAAAACAATGAATGAACTCCACCTTGTCAAATCATGTCATGTCAATTGTCATATGGTTTATGGGAATAATTTAGCGAAGCTTGTAAACGGCAGACTGGAAGAGATCACGTCACATGTAAACAGGTTACCAGAGATCACAATGACAAAAAGTCTCCATGGAAAACCAGCTCATGTGAAATAATGCCTATTTCACACACTTGAAAATACTTTAGAGCAGTGGTTCTTAACCTGGGTTCAATCGAACTCCAGGGGGTTCGTGAATCGGTCTCAGGGGTTCGACAGAACCTCTGCCATGGAGGTAAAGGCACACCCGACTCAAGATGTCGATTAGTTATGACACGCCCGCTTGGCCATCACTGGCTGCAGATGATCACATTGTATTGCTTGTCCAATCAGTGCTGCGGGAAATTTAGTTCGCTCAGTAGTCACCGTGTGACTGTCGTGATAGTACGGTGTGTGATTTTATTTTATTTTTTTAGAATATTTTAATACATGCTAACTATGTCGAGCAAAGAAAACAAAGTGTTCGGACAAATATGTAGCACATGGATTCACATGCATCACGGAACGTGATGGGACTCAGCATCCTATCTGCATGATTTGTCATTCCAAGTTGAGCAACTCTAGTCTCGCACCGGCAAAACTGAACAAACACTTCTTGAATCAGACTTTTATTTTTCACTAAGGGTCCGGTAAATGTGCGTATGAACTGGTTGGGTTCGGTACCTCTAACAAGGTTAAGAACCACCGCTCGAGAGCATTTTACAGAATACATTCAGACAGTGGCTTGGGGTATTTATTTACTAAAATAAATATGAGGAAAAAAATAACCTTAAATCCTAAAAATATTAGGTGCCTGATTGAGGTGAATTAGATGAATGAATTACGGTATTGCGACTTTCAGAGCAGAGAATAGAATAGAATGCATTGCCATCTGTACAGGTTAAAAATAAGTACATTGCAATTTTTGTGAATATGCCTCACAAATAAAGTGTATTCAAGAAAGGTGCAGATTTTTTGCGGTGAAATCCGATTTTTCCGCATTATCATTCACATTACATGTTAATTGCAATCTCAGCCTATCGGGTGTGTGAACCAAATGCGTCCCCCAGGTGACCCCCAGGCGCAGAAGAAGAGGACGTCACTCGCAGTGTCGTGTTTATGGAAGTCAAGACGGATGCAGCAACTCACGCTTGTGTAGCATTGTTCCTTTGCAATCAAAGTCAGCAAAATGATCATCTATTCCCAAGAAAATCAGATACAGGTCACATGTGGGCAAAAATAAATAATCTGATTTGGGTCACATTTACCGGCAGCCTGTACATAAACTTACATAGTCCAACAACAGCACATAATTTCTTTGTCAGGATCTTTTGAGTCTGTCCCGACTACCAAGTAGGAGTTCACAAATCGCAAAGGCTGAGTCAGTTACAAACTGGTTACAGTAGGTTCAATCAACCGGGTGTAGACATGCATGTTCAAATAACCTGTTCATGACTTGTTCAAACATCCAGAGAATGGAAGAAATGCTTGGTGTGCTTCTAGTGAGTCAATTTTCCGGAAAGGCCAGTTGCCACTTCTCGTAAGCCATTATATGCTTGTGGACTAATGTCAACACACCTCTATTTGGCAAACATCCAATTTTATGACTGTGCGTTGTTTTGGTTTCATCACTCCAAACAGAAAACAAGAATACATGCATAGTAAATAATCATATCTTTCATTTCAGTCAGAGATGAGATGACTAATAGTGCTCAGTAAAAATATGAAGCAAACATAAAAAGTGTATAAATATATTTTTGTTGCTTGATTGGCTTATAAGACATTTGTGCAACAAACAGATACTGTATATCATTTTCGTTTGATGACTTTTCATGAGGCGGCACGGTGGGTCAACTGGTAAGCACGGCACACACCTCACAGTGCAGAGGTGAAGGGTTCCATTCCAGCTCCGACATCCCTGTGTGGAATTTGCATGTTCTCCCTTGCCTGCGTGGGTTTTCTCCGGGCACTCCGGTTTCCTCCCACATTGCAAAAGCATGCGTGGCAGGTAACTGGAACATTCTAAATTGTCCCGAGGCGTGATTGTGCGCCTGAAAGGTTGTTATTTTATGTGTGCCCTGCGATTGGCTGGCAACCAGTTCAGGGTGTACCCGGCCTACTGGCCAAAGACAGCTGGGATAGGCTTCAGTATGACTCATGTGAGGATAAGCGCATTAGAAAATGGATGGATGGACTTTTCATGACAATTTTTGAGGTGATGACATTTATGATTTTCTTATTGAAATGTCTTGTTTTGTAAAAAAAAAAAAACAAGCATAGGCTTAAAAAGTTGCGGCTTCACCCAACAGAGTTTTGGTAAGGTTGGCTCTGTAAAATTCTTTTTTTGGCTGCTTTTGTTTGACTGAAGCTGATTGAATAAAATCGGTCAAATTAAAGCCTGTGCGCATGTGTTGCATAGTCAGTATATAGACGAAAATCTAGCATGAACACCACCATCACACATTGCTAACCGTAATGGACAAACAAATTACAGAAATACTTCAAAATCACAAAGTCAAAACCAAAATGGTACTTGTAAACAACCACTGACCACTGGGCATCCTCCAACTGTTTATGGTCATTTATATAGCATATATCAATTATTTTATAATGACCATAAAATCAAAAGAAAGGCAGCCCATTTCCTGTCTCGGTTTTACCCTCAAGTATAGTTACAAACAAAAATTATAACATGATCTAAATAAAGCTGACTATTCTCAATGTTTATGATCACCCCCCCAAAAAATCTTTAAGGAATCCCAACACACCCAACAATAGCGACATTGTGAAATGACCACTGCATGGCAGCTGCTATGACAAGACTGCCATTTATTATCTTTCAATAACAACACCGTCATTGTCAGACTGGGGCTGCATGGTGTACCGGTAGTCAAAAGGTACTGCAATACCTCACAGTAAAAAAAAAAAAAGATACAATACAATAAAGTCTTTCTAGATCTTTCAAATCCAAACTACCCTACTCCGCCCAAGAGAATGACTGTGTGCAGTTCTACAGCTATTTAACACTTGCAAATAAGAGGGAAATATGCTTTCTTCCAACTGTTTGTCACTCCTAGGTGAATTTTACTGTAAAAAAAAAAAATTATACAATGCAAGTCTGCAATCTTAATGCAAAATGACAAATGGGCTAAGAAGCATTTCAAGAGTAATCCAAGCAAACCCCCATTTGCCAAAGATTCCACAAGGTGTAGGCAAAGTACTAGATAAAACACCTCAACTCACTTTAACAAAGTTGCAGACTTCCACCCTAAATGGTGCTGCTGTTTTACCGCTAAAGCTTGAGACAGTGCAAATAGGTTTTTCATCTACTTGTGGGCGTGTGACCTGACTGATCATTTTTGGGATAGTATTATTACTTAGGGATGTCCTTATCACATTTTTGTCCACCTGAATTCAAATCATTTGATTTTGCGTCACGATCAAATACTTCTGCAATGCCATGAAGACAAAAGATGACCACATCCAAATTGTCTCAATTATCTTTTATTAAAAATTAAATAATAATAATAGTTATCCAAGGTGATACCTTCGTATATGGCTGCAAATCAACAGTGGTTCAAATCGAGTAAAGAATTTAAATATTTTACTGTTGACTTTATACTTTAAGAACATTTTTTAAATCTAATCTTTTTCAACAGATACCGATCAGCTGAAAAAAAAATGTTTTTAAATCACGTGAGCGGCCCTGATTTCCAATCGTGGAGTGGATTGGGACAATCCTCGTTGTTGTTGTTGTTATGATTTAATCTGTAATATATTTTGTGTTGCTGACAGTGATTGATGTTAATGCAAAAATGTGACCTGGCATTGCAAAATGAGTCACAGCAGAAATGAGGTTTTGGCATAACAGGGTTCTACATTAACTTTCCACCTTTTCGTACTAGTGCTAACAACTTTCTCGGTTGGTATTTTTATTTATTTAATTAATTTGAGTTAAGCACAATGCCAGGTTTCCTGATTCTCCGTAACAGTATTAGATGGCATATCGCAGTTAAGATTGACAGTGACTTGAGTTATTATTCTTGCGAAAAATGTTAGCATGAATAAGATGTTTGCAACTTTTGATTGTTCCACGTAATTTTTACAATGTTTACAAGTGTTTTGAGTTGAGAATGGTCAAGGAACAAATTCAACTTGCAAGTCAAGACAGAAGTATTGAACTACTTTTTTGCCTCTGCCTCGTCTTTGTCTCTGACAAGGAGGACTCTGGATTTGTGATCAAGACCAGGGCAATACTACTGTGATCAGTAATCATTTAATAATTTAAGCATTATTCATGAGTTTTACGTTAATTTTTTCTTTGTAAAATAAAATTTATCATTGCTTGTGAGAACAATTCTGTTTTAATAAGTATGATTGCACAACTTGTAGTAGAAGTGAAACAACAAATTTGCTTGGATTTGAGATTTGTTTCATTAAACTATTTCTAACACAACATAGCAGAATTTGCTTGTGCTGCAAACATAATGGCGAAAAAAGACACTTAAGTCATTTTATTCATTTTTTTGTGTGGATTTTTTTTCTTTGATTTATATAGTCTTGTCTCGGATACTCTAGTCTCGATAATATCTTGGTCTCGGGTTGTCTACAACACTACAAGGTACCACTGTACGTGCTATTTTTTTTTTTGCCAGTTGTCCACAACCCACTTGTTGAGAATCTCCGCACTAGATAACAGACAAATTCAAAACGACCCAACTGTACCTTCAGAGTATTTAATGTCCCCGTTGAGTAACTATTCACTTTGAAGGGTTTTTTTTTTCATCAAAGGAATCATGAACAGCATGCATTTAAATGATGGTATTGCAGATTTACCCATGAAATGACAGAATTTCCTCATCCAAGCAAACATAGTGCAACCACAAAAAAAATCTTGGCCACCCTAGCGGGCTTGGATGGGTGGCCTCGCCGGTATATTGAACTGATTTGGATTAAAAAAAAAAGAGAGATGCGGTATGTTGAGCTGGTACATGTAAGAAAAGCTGCTATGTGTCACTAGCACGTTATGCGTCCATACAGGTCTACTATCGTTTTACTTCCACACGAGTGTCATTTGACAGGTTGGAATCAGGCCGCCTGGATAGAGTCGCTTGCCAATTCGCCAAGAAACACAATACAGAGAAAGGAGGCAATAGCATCGTAGGGACATTTACGTCAAGTTGCTCGGTGGTCAAAAGACCTTTTGTTTCGCTTTATGACTAGATGAAAGTGTCTCCAGTGAAAAGCAGGAAACAACGAAGGCAGCGGCGTTGGGAGACAAGACATCACGTCCTTACCTGAAAAACAGTATTTTCCCTCCCCTTTATAGTCTTGCCCGTCCTTATAGTGCGTACCAGACCGGTCACACGACGATCATAGTCCTAGCTGTGATTGAAGTTCTGTTCAGCAAATTTTGGGGGTTTCCTGTTTCTGGAGCTGGCTCCACTGTGGCCAGATATGACAAAATTTTCTCCAAGCGAGCTAATCACCACACCCATGAAAGTGGGAACATGGCAACAGCCTACGCTGTAGGGGTGCGTTGGTTTTAATTGTGTGTCGAGATTTTCCCAAACAACCAAAACACATAATAAATCGGAATTCCTCACACTTATTGAAGTTTTAACACTTTGAGAGAAAGCCAATTTCTGAAATATCAGTTCCCAGAACACAGGAAAATAGCATAAAAATAGAGGTGTACCCTGTCCAAAAATGGTACAGTCTGTTAGCTCCCCTAGTGAAAAGGGAAGCGACCAGGATACAGGAAGCAAATATTAAATTTACAAAACTGGTTCCAACACTGAGTCAACTTTAAACACTGATTTGTTTAAATACCGACAAGCTACTTAAATCATTGAATCAGAGCTGAAAAAAGTGCTACACCTTTAATTTGTTTTTAATTACCTAAATTGCCCTAAACAAATATAAACAGCATTACAGTGGTTACGATACATCTTTAGCAATACAGAACAGTTGTACTGTAGTGTGTGATTTTTGAGCGAGAATGACCAAAGTTACCTACCAGCTAAAATGCTCTTATTACAATTTGTCACCCAAATAATTCTGGATCAAGATTATGGTCAGATACTCGGTTTGGACTGTGCTGGGAGACAGCTGTACCAAGTCTCACAATGACACATCACGCCTGGACTGCATCTGGCTCATTGAATGGGATCCCTTTCCCTTCGGTTCGGATGAATTTTTAATGGGGCCAATGAAAGGGAGCAGTGGAGTAGGCTTTTCCATATCTCTGCACGAGCTATAATCAATCGAGGGAAGATGAAAGTTGCCCAGCGCTTTGTTTCCTTTCGAAGTGGCATGGGGTCAGATTAAGTCTAATTCAATTAACACCCAGCAGTAGTTAAGGTGTGTCAAACTCATTCGCCTCCAAACACAAAATGAGAATTAGTGAGATACTGTGTTGTGTTGGTTTATTGTTACGCTGTCTGGGATTTTTTTTTATTATTTCTACAATCATTGTTATTGATTAACATGATTAATTATGGACTAACATCATTATGGATGAATAAAAACACAATTTTAAAAAAATCTGCACGCCCTCAATATGAGTCATCACTAATACTAAGCCTGCCGATATGCACAGTGGTCAAATCAAGCGAGACCAAGCAAGAAACCTTCTAGATTATAGTGCCATATTCTTTCAGATCATGCATGAAGTTGCTCAACACAAGAATGATGTAAAAAGTATATGATGCAATCTCAGTTTGCCAGTAATTCAATTATTGCAGCGCAACAGCCTCACATATTTTTCGCCAGAAAATAATCCAAGGAAGAGAATATACTACAGTTTAACTCTTCTGCTTTTTTATTTATTTATCTCTGGTGAAAAGCAGCTGAATGCATTAGCCAGCTGAGATTCAGAGACAGTGTCCAAAAGGCACATCTTTGCCCAATTAGGTCCCCTGGTCCTTTGCTTGGCAACCAAAAGGGGAGGTGGCCGATTCATACTATAAAAATAGAACATTAATAGCTCTAATGTCTGAAGGGGGAGGGGGACACACATATCAGTTGGGATATAAATAGTATCTGGGAGCCTGGACAGGTTACGTTGTACAGTAGCTCAATTGTATTGTCACCTGAAGCACATAATGTACGTCAGGATTTTGCATCAATGCAAAATCAAGCAGAGTAACAGTGAAGGATTTGAATTTGTAGCAGTTTAATGGCTCTGGATGAAACAACATGGACTGACTTTACAACATCTCCTATTTGCTAAGCAAAAACTGAGAAGGCTGTGTGTGAGTGTGTATAATATATACAGGTAAACTTCCTCTTATTGTATTCTTCATGGTTTGTATGAAGGCAAATAACTTTGACATCTGATACAATGAATGTGAATGTGTCCTACCAATCAATGTACATATGTGTAGTTGACATGGTTTACACATTTCTGTTATTATATATTTAAAAAAAAAACATGAAACATGAAATTTTTACTCTCAATTTCTTTTTGCTTCACATGCGGTGCCAGACCCAAATGACCGCCATTTCATACTTTCACTGTATCAAAGGCAATTAAAAGGTGTAGCAACAGCAAGACCTTAAAAGGCTTTATCAGGGCTGTCTTATCCACCAGACATCGCCCGGGGAGGCTGGCCGTTGCCAGGGCAACCCTCACAAATGGCTACTGACGTCAAGAAGGTAGGAGAAATATCAGGGAGAGCCAGAGCTTCTATGCATAATGGATTATTGAAGAAAAAAAATGCCTTGAAGAGTGTGACGTGACTTAAAATATGTGTGTTGTGTTCGACTCACGGCTTCTTTCTGAGGTAAATTAAAGTTGACAGTTTAAAGCATTAACTTGTTGGCTGACAAACACACAAAATTAACCATTTTCATCCACACACTGCATCTTGCTGACCATTTATAGTCCCAAGAACAAGGATTTCCTCAAGCCTCCAGTAAATGCGTAAACTTGTAAACACTGGAGATTTTGTGGAATATGAGTTTGGAGAAAGGTAATGAGAGTATTGCGGAGTTGTGCTAAAACCAGATATCGGGGTCACATGCTTTGCAACTACAATAGTTTTCATTTTATTTAACTATTGATTCCGGTCATCTAAACCTGAAAGTTACTGTCTTGAATATTGTTGCCCTTGTTTTGTTAGGTAGATCATACTGTGCTCAAGAACACTTGGCACCAACATTATGAATTGTGTGCATTCCATGCCTGACTCACCCACATTATATTTCACAGACTTCAGCACCGTCGAACAAGGCGGACATGGGCACAGTGTGCTTGCTTATGCTCGGGCAAGCAATGTGCAGCATTGAACAAAACTGGATAAAAAAATACCGTACAAGAATCAAGTACTAGAATTTTGACAACATATGACAGGTCTTTGGAGAGACAGTGGCTACTTGTATTATTTTTTGTGGGGAATTTAGACATTCATTGATAAAAATTAAAACTTTATTCTCATAAGATTCTGCTGTTTTTTTCATCCAGTGTGGCAGCTCTACTCTGCAAAATCAAAACAACCAAAACGACTTGGAAAAAGCGATGGAAGTCTGGCAGGTTGCAACAAAGCTGTGTTGTGGTCATGAAGTGAGAGTGTTCGTAAACTTCCTTGATTATATGGATGAGCGCAGCACAGTGTGAAGGTAGAAGGAGGGGAAACTGGGCTGTAGCACAGTACAGGACAAGTGGACCATTGCTCGAGGACACCTTAGTTCACACAGCACTGAGATCATAGTCTTTTGCATTCATTATTATTTACTTCCTTGTTATTGTCAGAACACATGCTGCTGATTGCAGAAACACCGGCTTGCCACAACCTGGTCAGACAAAAAAAAAAAAAAAAAAAATCGAAAATTTACTCTAGCGAATGAGTTCATGCTGCCATTCATTCGGGTGAAGAGATGACAGCTTGCTGTACGTTGTCCCCCTTTGAGCTTCTTGTCTAATCTCAGTTCTATTGTTGGCACACGAAAGACTGTTGGAGCAAAGGTTTAGTGAAGTGCCCTCATCATTTCTGTGATAATGTCTCTCGTGATGTGGTGGAATTACAAGATTGGTGAGCCGGACGTTGATTGTGAAGTCAGGGTCACTGTTTGCAGAAGGCCAAACGTTGCGCCTCAAATTTGTACTGCAGGAAAACATATGATCGAATGTCAGCGTAACTGGTTGTTTGTCTAATTTTGCCCTGAAATTTGCTGGCAACCAGTCCAGGGTATACCCCACCTTTACTATTGCCCAAAGTCAGCTATAATTGGCACAGCTCACCCAAAGCCCTACTGATGACAACTGAAATAAAATCTAGGAACGTTTAACTCAAAGGTGATACTAGCCGACAATATATCTTTAGGTTATCCGACCAATCGTGCAGGGGTAACTGTGAAGTGCAAGAATCAAATATGCAAAAGACTCTTCTGTCTTTGATAAATCATTCATGTCCAGGCCTTGAAGAATTGTTTCAACTCAATGTTTCAAGTTTTGAGTTTCAAGCCAACTTTATTGTCAAATGTGCTATATGTGCAACATAGAGCACAGATGAAATTTCTTTCCTCTTACCTACAGGAGAGAGAGAATGTTCAGCGAAGTGAGCAGTTTGTGGGGAATTTCCAACACTTCTGCTATCAGAGTTGTAACAAACATTAAACATGAACCAACGTGCGCTTACGTTTCCAGAGAAGTGAATCACACACATCAGGAACACTTTTGATGGAAACATTGAGCAACGCAGATGTAATAATGTCACCCTCTTCAAAAAAGCTTTTACGACTTTGATCTCTCTCTTAGTTTGAGTTGACATTTGAATTTAGCACATGTTCAAACCACATACATAAACATGATCAGTAAGGAAAGATATCCATCCATCTTGGTTACGTTCTAATACAATTATAGGTTCATACCAGAAAGATACTGAGTTGGAATAATTATCCCTATTCTTTACAAGAAGCTTTGGATGGAATGCAAGCCCAAAAATGCAGTACTGAATGAACGGGAAATAAAACAATAATTTAGGAGGCTTCCTACCTATTGCAAGAAGAACAGCACAGGAAGTGGGTGTTTTCTGCGTAGGTCCTAAATGGCATGGACTTGAAAGAGTGCAGTGATTTTGGTTCTTCCTTTTGCCGGCGTGTAGAAGCTTCGGAGAGGAGCACTCCATGCAGAGAGAGAGAGAGAGAGAGAGAGAGAGAGAGAGAGAGAGAGCAAAGACGAGCTGGAGTATGAGGCTGCTGTGTGGGAGAGTGAGCATATGGGTGGCACAGAAGATGAGAGATGGAGTGTTTTTTTTTTCATTAAAGGTACAGTGTTGTGAAGTTATCAATGACTGACATGCTGTTGCTACCGCAATGACAATTGATTTCAAACAAATTCAATGGTGGATGGTTGCAGGTAATAGTAATATTCGTATGGGAGTGCCAGTGACTCAAGGTTAAGGGAATCTTGTGTTTTGCACATAATGGAGGTCAAGGACTGTTAAAAATGAGTACTCCCCAGAGTTATTAATGAAGAAGTTGGCCTTCATTTCAACAGGCACTACAATGTTGGGAGGGAAAGTTCTAAATTGTATTCTGGCCTTAAATTCGTGACATTAGGTGATAGGAATCTCAATGTAGATGCCTTTATGTGTGGTGCTTTTGCATGAAGGCAGAGTTGGAAATGTTTTCGCTATCGGGGGTTTCAGTTCTTTCATTTGAGTCAGACTACATTTATGCAACACTTGAATACATTTGTACCGTTAACGTTATTTGTGATTAAATGTCTAAACAGTTCCTTTATGTTCCTGGTTGTGCAGCACTAGATCCAGAAGATGCCGATGTGCTGAATAATGTGACTCATTTGTGCAACTCAACGCCTTCTTCCGCAATCTAACTTGGTAACTGAAGTTGCATTATTGCCTGACATTGATTACTGTATAACTTTTGATGGATTCTTGAATTAACCACTTCTGTTGAATACATACATTGAACAATTCATTGGATAATTTTTCCTGTTTTCTCCGGTTACTCCGGTTTCCTCCTACATTCCAAAAACATGCATGGCAGGGTGACTGAACACTCCCTAGGTGTGAGTGTGAGCGCGGATGGTTGTTCATGTGTGCCCTGCGATTGACTGCCAACCGGTTCAGAGTGTCCTCCACCTATTGCCCAAAGACAGCTGGGATAGGCTAAAGCACGCCCCGCGACCCTTGTGAGGATAAAGCGGATCAGAAAATAGATGGATGGATTTTTTTCCTGTTACAAGTTAGAAAAGTGGCGATATTGCACGAGGGTATTGGACAGATGGCAAAGCAGCAAAAATACAGCAGATGGCGCTGTGTTGGCTAAAAAGTCCCCCCCACCCCACCCCATAAATGACTCCGTTGTGAAATACACGCGTAAACATAATCTTTGTCCTTCAGGGCATTTCGAGATTTTTGTTTTTGCAAAACATGTTGACTTTGTTTCTCCCCGAGTTTCTCTGTCATTTCTCTACCATGTGCATCATTAATATTCATAAAATATGTCAGCCTGCTAGCCACATTCAGTCACTTCATTTGTGATATTTTATAATAAATCATGCAACAGGTGTCCATGTGTGTTGACCGCCCACTTGCTTTTTAGGATATTGTGACGTTAAGAATACACAATGAAATGTTGATTTAAGATTTTAATTTCAGCCGACATATTGTTTACCAAAGGTTACTTAACTACATTAACACATTAAAACTGACTGAAAATGATCAGGTCAACATTTAAGGAGTGCAAGGGCAATAACTACAGTGATGATGCCCATGCACTGTTGTCTACTTTAATATGTAACAGAAATTGATGAATAACATTGTCCATTCCATTGTATCTGCCAGAACAAAAGTTTAATTTTTTTATTTTAAGAGAAGTATTTGATTGACTCACATAGCACAACTTGCAAGAGCTTGTACAAAATTGCAAATCAACCTCAACATTGCAGGGTTGCAAAGTGTAAAGGAACTTGAAATCTCTGGTTCTATCCCTGTGCCTATCACTCAAACCATAGACCTTCATAATCTATGATTATTAGTTAATCTTTATCAAAATGACCTTTTCTAATTCAAGGAAGCAACGACAAGGGATGACGTCATCATATTAAGTGCTGCTCAGTGCCTAAACAAACAACAAACAGCACCAAGTCTCACTCAAATTTGATTCCCTGTGCAAGAGGAAGATCCTTGCTGTAGTTGATGGTGCAGGTTGAGCGCCTCATGTACTGCTTCCAGGAGTCACTTCCAGACTCTCTGCCTCCTCCTGTGTGCTTCTCCCCACCGAAGGCCCCTCCGATTTCAGCACCGCTTGTTGGAATATTGACATTCACTATGCCACAGTCGGACCCTTTAGGTCCGAGCCAGCGGAAAATCCGCCCGAGATCTTTGGTAAAGATGCTGCTGGACAGGCCCTGCTTCACCTCGTTGTTCCATGCAAATGCCTCCTCTTCGGTTTTGAACTTGAGGACGTAGAGAATGGGGACAAAGGTTTCTGTGTGGACGATCGCAGAGTCATGAGCCAGCCCGGTGATGATGGTGGGCTCCACATAGTTTCCAGGACGGTCCATTACTTTTCCTCCACAGACAACAGTGCCGCCTTGCTGCTTGGCCTTCTCAATTGCGGACAGATACTGCTCCACCGCTTGTTTGGTGTGCAGAGGCCCATACAGAGTGCTGGGATCCCAGGGATCTCCAATGCGGACCTGCTTATAGGCCTTGGCGACCCTCTCAATCACTGCATCGTGGACGCTCTCATGCAGCATTAACCTTCTTGTGGTCGTGCAGCGCTGGCCAGCGGTTCCAACAGATGCGAACACCGCAGAGGGCACCACCAGATTAAGATCGGCATCCTCAAACACGATGATGGCGTTGTTCCCGCCGAGTTCCAGCAGCTTGCGGCCGAACCGTTCTTGGACCATCATGCCCACCATCTTGCCAACATTAGTGCTGCCAGTAAAAGACAAGAGATCCACCCGCTCGTCTTTGGCCATGGCCGTACCAATATCAGCACCTCCACAGGTCATGGAGCAGATAGCACCCGGCAGATTGTTCTGCTCAAGCACATCAGCTACAATCTTTGTAACAGCTACACTTGTAAGAGGTGTGGTCGGTGCTCCTTTCCAAAGGCAAACATTGCCACACGTAAGAGCGAGGGCGTTGTTCCAGCCATAGACGGCCACAGGAAAGTTGAAAGCAGTGATGACACCAACTAGACCAACTGGGTTCCACTGTTCGATCAGGGCATGGCCTGGTCTTTCTGAAGGCAAGACGGGCCCACCAATCATTCTTGACAGACCGACAGCGTAATCACACACATCAACATATTCCTGAACTTCTCCCACCCCTTCAACATAGATCTTTCCCATCTCTAAAGACACCAAGCTCCCGAGTGCTTTGATTTTCTTTCTCAGTCCATCTCCAATCTGCCGCACAATCTCCCCTCTTTTTGGAGCAGGAATATCAGCCCACATTTTCCAAGCTTCCTTTGTCTTCTGGACAGTCTCTTCATACTCCACCATCGTAGCTTGGGTTACTCTGGCAATCGGCTCATTGTTGGCGGGGCAGTATGAAGTGATAACCTCCCCGCTGCCGCCCCAGTTGCCATTGTAAACACCGGGGTTGTCCTCAGAGAGACCCAGCTCCTTCAGCCAAGCATATTTAGGTTGACTAATGAGAAGACTTGACATGGCTGCTGACTGGTGAAGAGATGGGAATTTATTCTTCAAGAGGAGCCTGCTGTGTCGGGCAATGGTCAAGTTGAGCCAACGCTGCATGAGTCCTACAAACACACAAAAAATAGTTATTCACACTTATAATTTGTAACCAACCACAACATTTGAGCAAATTGCACACTTAAATGAAAATGTGATTGTTATTTTCAGTGATGTACAACTTGCATTGCATACAAAACTTAGGGCCACGTTTTTCTGCTTCATTTCCAACCGCTGGTGGCGCTACAACATCTAACATCATGAAACCTGTTGTTATCTGAGTGTTTTACTACTTTAGTGACATTATGAACTGCAATTGCTGCATTTTAGGTACCCAAACCAGAAATTTGCTCCTAAACCCAGCGAAGAATAAGAAAACAGCCGCTAAGTTCCCCTTCTGGAATGATCAGCATAGTACCACCTCTTCCTGAATTTTTGCGAGGAAAAAAAAACATCATAATGTTTGTAATATAAACAAACAGCTCTTGTCATGGATCACATTCACTTGTACAGGTCATCGTGATATTGTGGCGAGTGGGTGCCCAATTAATGAGAATTTGTCATCAAATGTCAGTCGCAAACGACATTAAACACGCTACAAAAATAGAATAGCGCATTAGCGCAATACATTTTAGTTTAGCATCTCACGGTTTTCTCTTTCTTGCGTTAATATTAAATACATAATATTTTAGATGTCCAACAAATATCCTCATTATCTTTTCTATTTAATATGACACTTGAAAACTTTGCCTCGCGGTATGCACACAATTACGCCCAAATTGTGTGCATAAGTGGAAATCTCGAGCTCGTTTAGTCTAATTGTACCCAAACTTGAATACATTCGACGACATTCAAACTCCAAATGCTGTAGTGCGCACTGTTTTGTTGCAGACCACTTTCTACAAGTGTCATGGTTGCCCTGAGGTCAGTGATACGCTGTCGAATCGACTGTGGCTCGAGGGTTTGAATTCAGTGGTCACAGAATGCCACCGTCGTGCAGCTATGACGCAGCAACTCGTTTCATTGACCCATCAATGTCAAACTTTTTTTTCCTTTTAAGAAATAACTTGCAGCTTTTCACTTACTTTCCTGTGTGCACGAAGGGCCACGTTCACTGTAGAGCAAGTCGCAGTGTCGTCTCTTGATATGTTCGTCACCGCGCCCGCCCCCGTTGCGCTGTTTTCTGATTGGACGACCGCTGTGACGCACAAGTGGCGCTCGCTTCGTTACGGATCTATGCTAACTACCACAGCTCCAGTCCTTTGTTGTGATTAGCAGTCTACCTTTTGTGATTGTGCATTAATAGGACACATTATCGCATAAACGCTCTGCTGTGAACATTTCCAACATGAGCGGCGGAGTGTACGGGGGCGGTGAGTGGCATTTAGCGGTCACAGAAAAGAATCGCTTTCCCGTGTTGTCCCCCTTTATAGCCTTGTGCATAGCTGGCTAACTGCGCTAGCCATGCTACCGGTTAGCTGTATGGCTGGAATATACTATTATTTATTACACCTCACCATATGCACCACATTGAACAGAAGTGTTTACACTTACTTAATTTACGCAAAGCTCACGTTTTTGGAGCAGTTCCACGTAGTTAAGATGTTCTTGAATTATTCCGTCTTAGCGCAACGAAATGAATGAAAGTGGGCAGGACGAAACAGAATCATTTCTAAAACAGTGCAAGTAGTTTCTAAAGTAAATGGACCACGTGTTATCGAACAATAATGCTTTGCTGGTATATATTATTACTATAATGCAACGTTCAATCAGCGTGATCAAAATCGTACCGGTATTCCATTATAACGCCCTCATAACACCTTTTGTGAAAATTGCCTTGCGCTCTAATAGTTCCATGCTGCTTTGCTTGGACTCTTGTGAGTAGCAGTTTAGAATAATAATAGGAGCATATTGGCATCATTTGAGACAACGGAAAAAAATGTGGTAAATAGTGTATGTTTGTATTTCATATCATTCTTTATATGTGGTAATTTTAGATGCTGCTTGTCCTGTCTAATAATGTTAAATTATGATGTCGGTCTTTATAGTCTTGTAAGCTTGACATAAATTGGTGAATTAATGAACCAGCAGTTTGTGATTGTAGTAATGAGTTTGACACACAGCGTCCATAAATGACAATATGCTTGATTGAGTTTCATCGAGGAAACATGTGTAACAGTGGCTTGAGTTTTCACTCAGGGATGCTGTATGTGTGAGTGTAACTAATTGTTTGTCTCTCTCTACCCTGAGATTGACTGGTGACCAGTCCAAGATGTAGTCTGACTTTTGCCTGAAGTCAGATGGGATGATCTCAAGCGCATACTCATTTGTTATAGAAAAAAAAAGATGGATTTTTGTGCATACATTTTGACAAATTTGCAGTGATTGTCAGTACATTTCAGCACAGTAGGCAAAAGAAATTATAGATTCTGAAAGGAAATTACAGTATTGTCTTGTATTTTCTCCAGATGAGGTCGGAGCTCTGGTGTTCGACATTGGTTCATACACAGTGAGAGCTGGCTATGCAGGAGAAGACTGTCCCAAGGTAAGAGGACCTCTCAAATAACCTGATTCAACGTCTATTCCCCCCGCCCCCCTCTTTGCGTCTTCATCATCTCTCCGGGGTATGTTGATGAAATGAGGTCTGTCACCCAGGAGACCGACATCATATGTAAATCGAGTTCAGATCGTTATGGAAAACTTGCTTGTTTTTCATATATGTGAATATTAATCAAGAAAAGAACTAATCTCTGTTTTAACTTTCAATAAATAACAACATTTTTTTATTAAAAATGTAATATTTCTTAATTGTCACAAATGACAAATGGTATAATGCGCCTCGGAAATCTCATGTTATTCATAACTCTCAAACTTTGGAACAACATGAGTTGGTGTGACCATCAGTCACTTAAAAAACGTTAATAAAAACAGTTGAAGAAAAGAATATACAAAACAAAATGGACAGCACAAAAATAAGGCCAGCTGAAGAAATTTCTGGCTTTTTTTTTTTTTTTTTTTACATGTCAGTGCTGTTAATAAAGAACAGTTACCTGAGAAACAGTGACAATATAATCTACCTTTTACAGGCAAGGTGAAATGAGCTAGTTTTGCTGTCAATAAACTGAAATCTTGAAAGCTAAAGGAGTGTATGCCCCACCCCCCTCCCCAAAAGGCCGACTTCCCCACGGTGATCGGTGTGACCCTTGACCGAGAGGATGGCACCACTCCCATGGAGACGGATGGCGACAAAGGCAAGCAGAGTGGCACCACTTATTACATCGACACCAACCAGCTGAGGGTCCCGAGGGAGAGCATGGAGGTTATGTCTCCCCTCAAGAACGGCATGAGTGAGTATTTGTGTCTCACCTTTTTCCCTTCCCAAAGTACGGTGGAAGCTGACTTTCCAAGTTCAGGGTTTATTATCCGAAATTGCACCAGTTAACTTTGTGGAAATGTGGCTTTATCGCCTGACATAAATCCAGCTATGCTACACCAATAAATTCAATTATAGAGGCCACAAATGTAAAGTACGCTGGCCCAGCTGATGATGTTCATCAGGATGAGGACCCATGGAAATGAAACTATTTCTAGGCCATTGTGACACCAATCTTAATTGCAGCAGAGTGTCAATGTGACACAGCCTTAGAGAGCTGGCCTGGAACATCGGTGCACGTAGCTGAAATTACTATCTATAAAAACTCACCATTGCTCTATTTTGATGAAACTGACCCAGTGATGGCGGTGATGATGAAACAACCATCTTCTGATTCTGAATAATATTGAATTTGTGGACTATGAATAAAGCAGCAAAATTCACCTGTTTTTAGCCATCTCAGGGGGCGGCCATTTTGCCACTTGCTGTTGTCTGAAAGTGACATCATAGTTTGCAGGGCTGAGGTAACGGCCATTCACAGCTCACATCACATGACCAAACTCAGAAAACAGCAATGTCGATTTGAATTTGATTATTTGTTATTAGAATCACCCCATCATATTCCACAATCACCCTGGAATTTGGCCATTTTTACGACTAGATTTGAGCAGAATTCTATCAAATATTGTGGCAGGCTTTTAAAAGTGAGCCACATAAAATATGAATCCCTGACCCATGTTCTTTATGTAGTACATTCATCTTGCTTTTTTTTTTCCTCATGCCTCCGTCATAGTTGAAGACTGGGACAGTTTCCAAGCCATTTTGGATCACACATACAGGATGCACTTCAAATCAGAACCAAGCCTGCATCCAGTCCTTATGTCTGAAGCATCAGTGAGTTACTCTCTCTGCAAGCTGGAATTTTGAGTGCATATGGAATCTTTTTTGACTCTTGTCAAATGATTTGTTTTGTATCTACAGTGGAACACACGGGCAAAACGAGAGAAACTGACCGAACTGATGTTTGAGCACTACAACATACCAGCCTTCTTTCTTTGCAAATCAGCCGTGCTGTCTGCGTATCCTTTGCGCCTTTTTAAAATGTTTTAAAAATAATACTAGAGTACTCCATAATGCATGCAGCACTGTGGACAAGGGATTATCACGTCTGCGTGTGTGAAGGTTGCATGTTGTCCTTGTGCTTGTGTGGGAATTGTCTAGGTACTCGGACCCCCCCCCCCCCCCATATTACAAAAACATGTATGTTATGTTCATTGAAGATTCTAAATTGTCCTCAGGTGTGAATGGTCGTTTGTCTATGTGAACCCTGTGATTTGCAGACGACCAGGGGGCCAGGATGGAGTCTTGCCCAAAGCCGGCTGGGATAGGCTCCAAGTGCTATAGAAAATGGATGCTCCATAATGTCCGTATGCGTGTCATACATTTATTGGTACGATTCCTTTACTTGGAGAAGCTTTGCCAACGGGCGGTCTACAGGCTTGGTCCTGGACAGTGGGGCGACACACACCACAGCCATACCGGTGCATGACGGCTACGTCTTGCAGCAAGGTAACTCATAATTGTTCCTTTTTATTTACTCATCTTATTTGATAAAGTTTAACCTGCAAACATAGGAAATGTGAATGCAAACCATGACCATACCTAATGTGCTGTCCTTCCTTGTTCGTCTGTGGGGTTTATTGTCTTAATGCTGCGTTACCGTCACCAACTGGAACTGTCCTTCCACCACAATGAGACTCATGTGGATTGATGCTTGGAATGGTTCCCGAGCTTTGTCGTGGTTTCATTTGTATACCTGAAAACTATTTAAGTAACTGTAGGCCTACATTAGCATTTGGTTGGTAAAATGAATTGAATGGATGTAATTGATGCAGTTTGCATGTTGAGCTGGGCTTGTGTGGGTTTTATTCCCACTTCATCCCACATTTCAAGAATGTACTTCTGGGGCTCATTTTTCCAGAAGGTTTTGGGATAAGCCCTATTTGTATAATTTTTTTGGGCCGTTTGTCTTTGGAAGTTCTGCTGTATGTGTGTTTTGTGTAAGTGACTGCAAATGTTATTTGTTTTCTGGCACAGGCATCGTCAAGTCGCCCCTGGCTGGAGACTTCATGAGCATGCAGTGTCGAGAACTCTTCCAAGAGTTGAATGTTGAAATAATTCCACCCTATATGATTTCATCAAAGGTAAAACACCTTTGATCATTCATATTGAGTATGATGCTTTAGAAGTATTTTTAATATTTTAATAACTTGCTTTTTTTGGGGGCGGGGGGGGATCACTTGAAGTGTATTGCACAATCTTAAGTAGGAATTTACGTCACTATTTTTCATGCCAGGATCCAGTGCGGGAGGGATCGCCGGCCAGCTGGAAGAAAAAGGAGAAACTACCTCAAGTCACCCGCTCGTGGCACAACTACATGTGCAATGTCAGTAGTAGCTGCAAGCCTTGGCAGCCCACTTGATACTACAATTTGTATTCATACAAGATGTTTCCGCTTTGGCATTACAGTGTGTCATCCAAGACTTCCAGGCGTCTGTGCTGCAGGTGTCTGATTCGCCATATGACGAACAGTAAGAACGCAGAATCCTTCTTTTTCATGCTAAAAAGCACTCAAGTCGATTCAAACAACAATGAATACAATCCTCTTCCTTCAGGGTTGCTGCCCAGATGCCCACAGTGCACTATGAGCTGCCCAATGGCTACAACTGTGACTTTGGGGCGGAGAGGTTGAAAATACCAGAGGGCCTTTTTGACCCCTCTAACGCCAAGGTAGGCTTGACCTAATTTTATAGGACATGGACCATGTACATCAGTAAACATCACACACAATGCTTTAAAATTTTTGTGCTGTGTTTGGAAGTAGTCACAATGTCTCATGATCCACTGTCAGGGCTTGTCTGGAAACACGATGTTAGGAGTTGGCCACGTAGTGACAACCAGCGTGGGAATGTGCGACATTGACATTCGGCCGGTGAGTAAGCAGTCATGCCCTCAGCGTGATCATGTTTTATTGGTGCTATGAAAGCTTCAGATAATGTTTGAAGTTAGAAATCACCATCTTAGGCAGATCTTTGTCTTGTGTGTCAGGGTCTGTACGGCAGCGTTGTGGTGACTGGAGGAAACACGCTGATTCAGGGCTTCACTGACCGCCTCAACAGAGAATTGTCCCAGAAAACGCCGCCGGTGTGTGCTCAACAACTGTATTATATTGCCATGGCAAAAAAAAGTCAAAAATAATACATGGACAACATGTTTGTTTTTGATTTTACAGAGCATGCGACTGAAGCTTATCGCCAACAACACCACAGTCGAGCGCAGGTTTAGCGCGTGGATCGGAGGCTCCATTCTAGCATCACTTGTAAGAACACGGGAAGTGCTGTTGACATGTTATCTGAGTAGACACATACATGATTTCCTTCTCTTCCAGGGAACCTTTCAGCAAATGTGGATCTCCAAACAAGAGTATGAGGAGGGAGGAAAGCAGTGCGTGGACAGAAAGTGCCCTTGATTTACTGAAAACCAACAAATAAATTTCATTTTGTATTATTTTTTTTAAGCAGTTTGTCCACACACCGTGTTTGTGGATGTGTTGTAGCAACATACACACTCACAATTTTGTCTAATATTTTGTTGAAGTGAGATTAAATTTCTTTGCCATAATGTTCAGTCTGGTGCTTTATCTTTGGATGACAAGTGGTTGACAGAAAACTCACAGTAACTAAATCAAAATCTTATTTTTCTACTTTTTTTCCCCACTTCATTTTTAGCAGTCTACCATACCCAACAGCAAACTTGGCTCCCACAGTGCATACATATTTGTGCGTGTGTTTGTGTGAGAAAGTTCACTTTGAATAATAAGTGAGAGTTTTGTCTAAACTTGGAATTGAAGTGACTGTCTGGTGCATAAACCTCTGTGTACAAAGAAATCATCATTGACAAAGGCCTCATTGCCTCATTTGAAGTAATAAAACTATTTAATTGTTTACTGTTCAATGGCTCCATCTTATTGTGAAATGATCATAAAACTGCATGAAAAGAAGTCAAATGCGCATTCTAAGGTAATAGTTTATCGTGCATGATCACATGAGTTGTGTCTTCATTTTCACTCAATTTTCAATGAAGCACGTGACAGTGACTTGTATTGGACAAGAATAAATGAAGATTTTTACGAAGCCGGAACCTTCATATTGGGGAACCTTGCTTGAAGTTTGGCCAGCTTTTGCTTTTCCATGTTTGCTTTCCTGTACTTCTCCCTTAAGAACTTCTCAATGCGTAACCTGCAAGGCGGGTAGCACAAAGACACGGGACATTTAATGTACAATGTACAGTTTTATAAGACATCATGAATGTTGTCTGTGTACCATATCCTACCTGATGTGCGGTTCAACAAACTTGGGCGTGTAAAACTTCTTTCTCTTGTATTTTTTATTCATATACCAAGGAATGGCATATTCTTTGAATCGATACCTAGATACCCAGAACACAGATTTTTTTAGTGATGCCCACACAGTTCAGAACACAGTTTAGTGATGCCCACACAAAAATGTTTATAATTGCCTGTAAATGCCAAAAGATAAGACTGTAATGCACGTTTTTTTCAATGACAAATAACAAACATATTTTTACTGGTAACAAACATATATTTACTGGTTGAGAGATAGAAAGACAAATTAGCCCACTCTTTCAGGTTGTCACAAATGTGTAAGTTGGACTGAGCATAAATTGACTCGTCACGCCCCAATTGTGTAGCACAGGGAAGATGTGCTAAGGAAAAGACCAATGTTATGTTATTCATAAGCGTTGAGATGATCTATAAACTGAGTCAGCATATACTCCGAAAGAGTACGGGCCAAGTCTGGGGTTTTTTTGTTGTGTTTTTTTGGTTAAAAGGTGACTTAACAGTAGATGTCTGGGGAAAAAAAATCTACCAATAGGCATATGATAAACCGCAAATATTACTGTACATACCATTTTCACCAGCATCGACTTGATAAAATGAATATGTGAATGTGATTATGTACATTTTTCTGGAAATCTTTGGTCATACTTTGAATGTGTTTGTGCACAAGCTCTCACCAATAGGTAAATCCAAACACGTTCCTCCTCCAGGCCCCTGGTCTGCCCTTCTCCTGGCCTGTTTGGAGCAGACGCAGTGAAGTCTCTCTTTCAGTCACCACCGTTTCTAACCTGATCATTGACCGCTCAACCTAGGAGAAAGAAAAGCATTTTTTTTTCATTAATAAAAAAAAGACAGCCTGGGGCATTGACCAATCTGCCTTGAAGTAATCCAAGCGTGATACCAACCTTCCGTAGTCTCTCTGGACTCGGCATCTGAACCCTTTGCCTTTTTGCTTCCTGCTCCAGTGTGAGAAGCATGTTCCTTTCTTTCAACAGCACATACCTGACAAAAGAGAGAAGCTTTAAACACTGCGCCTCCCTCCCAAAAAAATGCACATTTAGATAAAATGTGAACAATATAATGTTACCAGAGTTTGTGCAAGTCCTCGTTGCTCTTTGTTCTCAGTTGTTTGGCAGTCCAAGGTGCACCTGTGATACAATAACCCCCAAAATTGAGTAAGAACAATTATGATAAATACAAACGGTTCACCATCTGAATGCGTTGGTTGTCTGTTTTACCTGATTTCACCTTGCTCTCTCCCCAATTCTCTGGGAGGTCAAAGAACTCATCCAGTCCCCTTCTGTGAACACTTGTGTGAAAGGCGTGACACTGAACTAGAGAGATGCAGCGACTGGACCAGCACTGGGCAACAAGTGGCAACTTGTCCCTAGGTGGGGGTGAAAACATGTTTAGTCTCCCTTCTCTCATATGTACTCAGGACACATGATTGGGTATCGATTGCTGGTGTAACCAGTTTCCTCGAGAAATGTCAATAATGCTACACTCCCACAATGAAAAATGAGCAGAAGGTTTAATCTATAAGTTTAACCGAGTTGATAACTACTAATTTCAACGTGCCATAGGTCTTGGGGTCAGAGAAGAAACAATCTTGGGTTACACGAAGCTAATGATGAACTAGCCCAAATTCGTAAATACTGTATACAACCGATTCTTACCTGCAAAAATAAGGATTGAGATTTGGCAAACTAGCGGGATATCGTTGAATATTTATCTGCGAGGATATTCGACAAGCATTCTGCAGCTGTTTGCAAAGACTCAAGACGCGTCCTGCTGAAGAGGACGTCGCCATTTTTACAACACATCCGTCATCCTCAGATTACCCAGCATGCATTTCCATACGATAATATTTTATTACATATTGTAGTTTTGGGTACATGACGGTGAATACGGTAAAACTCTAATTATACTTTCAAAAACAATTTGAAAATACAGTCAACATTTAAAAATGGATTAAAATCTGTTAAAAGTGTTTGCCCTTTCTAATTATGGCGACTTTCGCTTCAATGTCTTTCAACAGCGAATCACAGCGTGTTTTGTTGAGGCGTCATCCCACAGTAGCCATGGTGGGTATGAGTCTACTCAGGTCTGCTGCTGGAATCGCAGCCAGACTGAGTCCACTGAAAACTGGAAATGCGGCGACAAATTTACTTGCTCGAACAATACCACGGACGGAAAAAGGTGTGTGACACCACGACTCAGTCAACCGTTGGAATTTTGTGAGAGGAGCTTGTCGTTTCTTCTTGTGACCTTGTGAAAGGTTTTGTTAGCATGCTAATGATAGCTAGCTGGCACAATTTGCAATGCAGTCAATATGAAATAATACTTTGAATCAACTGAATCTTTATTACATACGTAGATGCACCTGAAAAATTTTTGTGACATAATTCATGCCCAAGTTTTCTACATCTGTAAAACTGACTTGAAAATGTAACTTGATTAGACGTCATTATGTCAGTAAGAGTTTTGTGTAAGAAAATAAAACAAGGATAATGTCCGAGCTCACTTTAAATATTCTCCCACATCCACTCACTTTCTGTATAGTGCTTGTCTTCAATGAGGTTGTTACTGAGCTGTAGCCTACACCAGCTGACTTTGGGAGAAAACAGGGGGACATCTTGGCCTGATTATTCATGTTTTTGGAATTTGAAAAGAAGTCTAAGAAACGCCATGTTCATCCACAAGCCAAATAAAGTGGCGGGAGCAGAGATTCAAACGCTGAGCCTCAGAACACTGAAGCACTCACTGACCTGCCTAGTCTCACGCAGTATAATTAAGCCCTTAGGTCCATGTTCACTACTTAAACTCTTGTGTTTTTCAGTGGCTGTCCGTTGGGGTCATGGGAAGAAAATGTTTGTCATCAAACCAACTGAGTACTATGACAAGAGATTTCTGCGTCTATTGGTGAGTTTAAAGGAGACCTTTTATGTAATTTTCACCATCTAAAAGGTGTCTTATGAAAGGTCCCTGACATTCTTGTTTCAAAATGCACACAGAGAATGAAGATTTACTTTACACTTAATATCCATCTTGTCACACACTTTCATTACCATGATGACAGAGCCAGAGTGTTGTACGAAACATGTGTTTACTACTACTTAGTGTTGCCAAATTGGCAAATTTCCAATTCATATTCATACAGACGACCACAAATGACAATTTCTTCTTTTCCACTTAGAAATACTATGTCCTGCTGACTGGTATTCCAGTGGCAATAATTGTCACATCTGTGAATCTCTTCATTGGTGAGTGATCCAACACCTTGGATTCAACCCAATTTTCATTCTGGACTATAATTGTGCGTGATTGTGTTGTGAAGGTGAAGCGGAGCTGGTGGAAACCCCTGAGGGTTATGAACCTGAGCACTGGGAATACTACAAGGTATGTAGCTGCTTCCGCAACATAATACATTGTGGCGGTCTTCCTATAATTTGTGGATGAAAATAATACCTGCAATAAATGATAAGGTGATCGATATAACAATCGATTCTAAATATATTTGATTGCTCCAGTCCTATGATAAAATATTGACAGGAGTGTGGGAAAAAGTAATCAGAACATGACTTTAAAACATAATGTATGAGTAATATATTTGTGACTTGGCCAATTATTGTCAGTCACAAGGGGTTCTGGGTTGTTATCGCTGCAATGAACAAGGGACTACTGTATATCACTATTTCATCAAAATTCATAAAAAATATTTTTCTATATCTTTAAAGTGTGCTGACATTATGAGCCTCAAACCCTAACTCGGAGTTAGTATTACCACTCTTAGATTGAACTCCCAAATAGCCATGATAATGTACAATGTAGTCAAATTATTTTTTTTCAATTTACAATAATTCCCCACATGTGCATAGTTCAATATTTGTAAATTCACTTGTTCACGTAATTATTTTGGGACCCATTCTCCTTTATTTGCAAAAAAAAACCCAGTGCTTATTTTGTGGTTTTCTGGATAGTTTTGCTTTTTTCTACAATGCCCTAACCTGCCACAAGATGGCACCAAAGCCCAGCTAATAGGAACACTTGACATGCCAACGTCATTGCGATTGCGTTGCGTTGTTTCAAAATCAGGTAATCTCTCAGCCATTTATGTTTTAGGTTAATGTAACATGTGTTTGAAATTAAGCTAAAGTATTCTGGGATCATAGCTTGGGTTATAGTTATGCTTTAAGCATTCATATTGGCAATTATTGACAACAAAAAAAATGGGGGTGCGCCAATTATATGTAGATTTTGCTGTTCATGGCAGGGATTTGTCACTGTAGTTACTGTTATTCTTTAATATCATGTAACAGAATGCTGTAATGATCTAATGCCATGTAAACATTATTTCCCCTGCTATTACAGCACCCCATCACTAGGTGGATTTCTCGAAACATGTTTGACTCCCCAGTGAAGGACTACGAAAAGATGATGGCTGCGATCCATATAGAAAAAGAGAAGGCAGACATGAGGTAGGCGGAACCACAATTTTTCATTGTTTTGCAAGTAGCTATTTTCAACTGAATCTCAGTTAATACAATCCATCCACCCATCCATGCATTCTGTTCTGCTTATCCTCATGAGGGTCGCAGGCATTTTAACATTTGAATTGTTGAATTGAATGTAATACTCATGTTTCTCAGTTTTTAAAAAAAATTGTAATTATCAAGATCATAAAATTTTAAATGAGGAACTATTTCTGAATATGTTAAGTGAATCTATGTCAGGACCTACAATTTTTCATTGAACAATAGGCGTGAAATAATGTAACTTCTCTACAGAATTGTAATTTATAAATGTAAAGGATTAGAATGTGGCAGACACCTAGTTCTGTTTTTATAGAATTTTACAGATTTTAAGAGGTAGTACAGTTAAGTAGTAAGACTTGTTAAATAATTTGCAGTAGAATATAACTACAAACACGAATACACGCACTATTATACAAATAAGTTAACAACTTAAAGTGCAATGACCAGTCAGTCTGTTTTCCATTTGTCTTATAGTAAGCCTTTTATGTGGCTTTAGAGGATCCACTGTATTGTCAATGTCTGTTTATTGAGTCTGTGTTCTGTCTGTCTGTGGTCAATAGGCTGGCACAGCTTGAGGTGCGGAAACACATGCGGCAGAGAGGAGACGGCCCCTGGTTCCACATTGAGACCGTCAACAAGGAGCTCATCGACACCACCCCCAAGGCAACACCCGATGACTGAACCAGATTGTTGTCAGTACGTTGTGCTGGTGTGGCTTGCTGTTTGTACATTTTTCCCCCCTTAAATAAAAATATCTTTAAGTGTACCTATCGTGTATTTGTGTGTGTTTTTGTATGGGAAGCTTTGTTCACTGCTTTATGAAGAGAAAAATTCACATTTATAAGGACAAAAAAAAAACACATCTAGGTCACAACGTTAAGCATTTCATAATAATTTCATGCTTTACAAAGATAATGGGGCAGGTGTAATCGGGTTCATTTAACAATGTTTTATTTTCTCCAGTGAGGAGTGAACTGCACTACATCACGTTCAGACTCCAACAAATTATTTTGATTTTATTGTTTGTTCATTGCGTTTAATTCCATGAAAAAAACCCTCCAAACAAAACAATAAAACAGGTACCGGTATGTTACATCAGATAGTGGTCTCTGTGCTTATAGACGATATGCCCCATTTAACTGCCTCGTTGTAGTGGTTTTATTAATGAAGTGTAAGGAAGGTTCCAGGGCTGAGAGACGTGATATTTTTCCATTTTAATAAGGTTGGGAAACTGATCTTCAGCTGTTGAGTTGCCCTGACCAGCTATTGTTGTAGTAACGCTGACGGCCACTGTGGGGCAGGGCCGAGTTGAATGAATTTATCAGCGTACTATACATTTTTACTGTTTAAAGACAAAGCATCAATATTCCTTTATTTATGTCGTTAGCAAAATATTGATGTTTTGAGCATTTTGTTTTATCAAGTGTCCACAGATGGAGTGATGGTGTTTTCATCGTTGCACGGTGTAAAATGCTTGGTTGTTTCCTTGCAGGGTTGGTCGTCACGCGGCGTAGTAGTAAGCGTGGGCGTCTGCGTGAATCACCTCCAGACGTGGGAGTGGCTCCTGTGCAGAAATATTCCCACGCGATGCCATTTCACGCTGACAAACACTTGAACCCCAGTGTTTGTAGCATACCGTCCCGCCTCCCGTGTGTCTTCTTAATTCGTCATTTTTTATCGTATTTTGATGTTTCCCAACGTCACGCCCCCGCCGCCGCCGTCCCTTCGCACCCTGCTTTCTCCCTCCCTCCAATGGCCGGAGGAATGTAGTGTTGGTTGGCCACTTTAAAAATAGCAAACCTCGTCTCTGAGGGCGCGCGGCTCCGGTGGCTGCCCTGCACTGTGCTGCGAGGAGTGGGAATGCCAACATGGCTACAGACCTCGGCGAGCTGCTGGTCCCGTACATGCCCACCATCAGAGTGCCCAAGACCGGAGACAGGGTGTTCAAGAGCGAGTGCGCTTTCTCATTCGACTCCCCGGTAAGTGCGCACTTTATTCCTTTGCGGGGCGCAGGGCCGAAGATGAACCTGCAACATATTTATTGTTGAAACTGAATGGATTTTTACACTTGAGGAGATGGAGACAGGTGAGTGGATGGAGAGGCTTTCCTTGACTATGTCAGGCCCCACACGGCTGGTGCAAGTAGCCACTACCTGCCTGTATGGTTACCGTTTAAATTGAGACAGGGTTCCTCGGTTTACGGCGGAGTTAAATTTGTACGACGGTGATCTAATCTGAATTAATCGGTCTATCACACAACAAATTACATTTAATATTAGTACAAAACATTTGGAAGCCACAAATATTAAACCATCAAATTAAAAGTCTGGTGGTACTTGAGTGTGCCTTGTGTTCTGTGACTATATCCAGTATATATATATATATATATAAAACTGCATTTATCTATCAATCTGTAAAATGTAAAACCTGTGGACCTACTGCAGTGGCGGTCTTCAGTTTACGCGGTTATTGAGTTTCTACAATGACCTTACTTGAAGTTGTTCGTAAGTCAAAACGAGCAGTGGTCTGTCTATTCCACAAAGACTTAATTATAGTAAGTATTGGTACAAAAACACTACAAAGCCATAAATATAAAATAATCAAATAAAAAACAATAAGCACTGTGATAACTGAGCATGACATTTTGAGCTGTGTGACAACATTTTTATAACCATTCATAAAATCAAGATGTCATATGTAGACCGAGGAATTTATGGAGCTATCCTGTTAAGTCACAAACCAGGGGCCCTAGTATAGAGGCTTGTGGAACGCCATGAGTATCTTATCTACAGGTGTGTCCTTGGTTTCCAAAAGTGTTCCATTCCTATAGCGCAGACCGAGCCCGAATAAATCGTAACAAGATGTAATCTGTAACATTAAACTCAGATTACAGAAAATATTGGGGTAGAGAAACACGTTCAGGCTATAAATGGATAAACTGTTTGTATGGCGGTAACTCAACGTGTCAATTGTGCTAAGTAACAGCATATTCCAATGCCACTGTACAAACTAGTACATTGGATGCTGTTCGCAATTTGACAATTTTTATCCAATGGGACCTTCACAAACAGCACCACCAGGATCTGTCTCATCAATCTTTCCTGCTGGACTCAAAGTAATTTTTACATTTCTTAAGTGTGGACCTATTATCTAGATTTTCGGAGCACCGCCAGTATTCTGCTGTAATGGCAAGTAATTGTGACATTTATTCAGAGTATAATGTTCAATCCCGTGGATTAATGTAGTGTGTGCTGTAGTCTATCAATATCGAATATTACTATGATAAACACTTCTAGGCTATACATATGAAACAATCAAATTACTGTAAATGCAGTTAGTATATCAGTAACAGTAAGTGACTTCCATGTGACATAAACCAACATTGTAGGTCAACATCTAGTGTCCCCAAAAGTAGTTTAATGCAAGTTAATTGTGACTGCGATTGGTTTAAAGCAAAGTGGTGAGACCTCAGCTCAGTGAATGTCTAAATAAGGGGCAGGCAACGTAATCATTTTTTGGCCATTTCGTTTTAAACTGATGAGAAAATATGATGCTGCTATTTATCTAGTACACGTATGGAGTTAGGCTGCACGTTGATCTGGTGCTGTATGAAAAGTCTGCTGTTTGAATCTCAGCACAGGTTAATTGAAGACTCTAGTCTAAATTGTCCATAGATGTGCATGTGAGCTTATCAAGTTGTTTGCTCATATGTGCCCCGTGATTGACTGGTGATCTGTCCAGGGTGTATCTGGTCTCTGTGGATGTTTATATGGGTTAAATGTATGTTTACAACTGTTTAATTGTTTCTAAAAATTACAAGGAGCACCATGCAGTAGGTTGCCCACCCGCTGTTTTAGTGTCTTTTTCTGCCCAATGTCTGTTCAATTCAATTTGACACTGTAGACTTGTTTTCTTCCAATAATTCTCAATGACTGAAGTGTATTCCGAATAAACATCCTTGCTGAGAATACAACAAAGCTCACTCAACTGTTTTTAAAGGTGACTCAGCTGTCTGGAGTTCATCATGTTAGCCCGAGGATGGCTTTATTTTTAGCTTTGTGCTGTTCAAGCTCATATGTCACTCTAGGCCACTTAAAGGTTTATCACATCCATGGAACACATTTGGGGTGTTTATTTTGACCTGAAAAAGTAGGATGAGAATCAATAATGGTGTTTTCATCTTAAATGCATGCAGTACTTGGAGATGAATGACTTGTCAGATTGACGCTAGTTTTAGCCTTGTTGGCTTAAGCTAGGGATACATGCATCCCGATAAGAGGGCTGAATTTGAGCATTTCCCCCATCCCGAATAAAGTCAGCAAAGGCCCCATTGTCGAGTGTCTCTTAAAGTTTATTGAGAGTGATTATCCTGTAGTGTGGTGTTTCAACTGTGTTTTTGTTTTGTTTGTTTGTTTTTATTTTCCCGGAAACCTCAGCTTTTTCCTAGCATACCGGTACCTTTTTTTCTTCTAATGTAGATATTTAAACATTCTTCTACACTCCGCTGAATTTGCAGCCTTTTGTAATGCACAAATTGAGGCACTGTGGTAATTTTCGAACAACATATGAAAGGCTTCCATCGCCATGGCAACTACAATTGAACTTCACGCAGCTTCTTAAACTGCACTGACACAATTTTATCAGTTTATCAGTCATCTGTTTTCTGAAATTTGCAAGCTGAGTCATGAGTGGTCGTTAACTGAGCCCTTAGTCATTGTAATGTCATTTTCAGTTGACAGCAATGACCGCCCGCCCCTGAGATGGATAAAAAATTGAGGATTTTGCTGCTGGATTCTTATTTCCACAGACACGATATTAATCAGAAAGCCGTGTTTAGTCTTGTGCGGCTTCATAGAACATATTACTGTACGATGAAGAAAGATTTTGGTTGACCTCCTCTTTGATCTATGTGCAAAATAGTTTATTTTACCAATGTTTTTAAATTGTATTTACAAGAACTTATTTAACTATTTTTAATGAGTTAATTGAATACCAAATACATGATATAATAAATGAATACATTTTGAAACTGAATTTTATATTTGTCTGAAGAGAGGAACTGTTAAGTCATTTGCCGTCTAAAGTGGGCTGCACGACACACCACATTTTTTTACACCTTAGTTATTTTTCTTTTTTTAAACGTGGAAGACCCCAAAGTTTGTGCATATCGATCTTTAAATGGTGTACTCACAGTACACCATACACGTGATAATATCTGGACTGACAGTCACGAATCTCCTCCCCCAAACTAGCTGTCTGTCATTTACTGTAATACTAAGACTAACCTGTTAGCGGTAGCAAAATTCCACAAGTTACTGTATTCAGACTGTCTTAAAATATAAAGAACGAGAAAGAGTAGCCATAGAATAAATTGAATAAGCTAGGCTAATTGTTAGCTTATCTTGTAACTTTACGTCACAAACTCTTGTCCTTGTTATTATGAATAACTTGAGAGAAGCATTAAACACACACTCAACACAGTCAGGATGGTCTTTTAAATAAATCCAATAATAGGGCCTTTGCTTATTGAGATCAGAACCACGGAAAATTATTTTGATCAAAATATGCAAATCTCGATACATGGGGGAGGGGTTGTACGATTCAAGGACGGTACATTTTAAAGTTGAACGATTCAATTTGTTTGAATACAGTGGGATTACGATTTGATTCAATACATCTCAGTGCAAGAGGGTCTGATGCAATGTGTTTCTTGTCATTTTACAATATCCATGAACTTGTCAGTACTGTAATTGTGGCATTTCCTTCAAAGGGATTATGTACACTGCATTCTATATAGATACAATAGGGGTGTGCATCAATTAATAAAAGTCGGTTTGAGATATATCTCGATATGTTTTAGAGTTTAACGATTTCGTTCAATTCTATGCATCCACGTCTTTTAAATCAAACTGATTTTCTGATTCAAATTGGTTTTCATTATACCCCGAATGTCAACTACAGGGAGTTAATCAGAATTATAAACTGATAAATTGAGTCGAATGAACATCCCTAATTTTGATTGCTTTTTCCCTTCCTTTGTGTGTGTGTGTGTGTGTGTGTGTGTGTGTGTGTGTGTGTGTGTGTGTGTGTGTGTGTGTGTGTGTGTGTGTGTGTGTGTGTAGGAATCTGAGGGAGGCCTGTATGTGTGCATGAACACATTCCTGGGCTTTGGACGAGAACACGTGGAGAGACACTATCGCAAAACAGGCCAGAGTGTTTACATGCACCTCAAGCGACACGTTAAAGAAGTGAGTACCGGTATATTCCCTGTGGCTCAGAGGTCAGCAATTGTAGCGTGAGCTTGTATCAACCTCAATAAACATGGAATATTTAATTGATATTTTGTTCATGGGGTCATGTAATGTAACCATCCCAAAATTTCTGCCCCCCTTTATCGATATAAGGAATACATGTCGGTAACCCCCCCCGCAACAATAATGCATGTAATAAAAGTGAGAAACAAAACAGGCCAGCAGTAAAAGAAAAACATTAACACACATCAATTTGACCTGCAATATAAGAGGAAGCTTCAGAAGTGCTTTATTACTTGTTTACATTTTGAACAAACATTTCATGTGAACATTACTGATGCCCTTTACATGTGATTTCGAATATTTCCTCCCCCTCAAAAAAAAGATTCATAAATATATCCCATTTAAAGTGAATTCACGGATTATTGTCCAATGTTAAATTCTGAGTTTTGTGTTGGTATGTTGATGTGAAAATGTTTTAAATGTAATTACTCTAGGACCCAAACTGTAACTTTTCATCTCGTGTTTCTCTTGATGAGTTGGTAGTGAGCACTGGAGACCTTAGTTTCCGCTGTGTTTTCTCACTGGCTCTAATTGCTCCCAGATAAGCTGTGCTTTGTAAAGAGCTGCTATTTTCATGCCTGGATCTCAAAACAGTAACAGCTGTTCACATTCTGCAGGCTCCTGTGTCTGCTGTCTTTTTTTTTGTCTCAAGTGTGTCAGCATACCCTCAGTTTGTTTGTGTCCATCCGGTCTTATGAACAGACACCTTAACATGTATTGGTCTGATGGTAAAACCAGCTGGTGCCTCTTGGGTTTTCTCATGTTTCATGTTCCATGTTGATTTAGTTTTTTTTCATTTACGCACTGAGGCTCACACATATTAACCAATAAAACAAAACAACAACTCTGGACTACTAACTCTCCGAATACTGTATTAAAAAACAATATGCCTGCCTGCTACTCTGCAGAGGACAGGTAGTTGAATAATTAAAAGATGTACCAATAGTTCCAGTCTTACAAAGGACAAGACAGTGAATATATATGAATAAAATGTAAGTAAATAAATGCTAACATGATATTTTTTCAAATAATGCCACTGTGTATTGACCTCTCTCTCTCTCTCTCTCTCTCTCTCTCTCTCTCTCTCTCTCTCTCTCTCTCTCTCTATATATATATATATTCTCCACGTTGACAGTTCCACGCTTCCATGAAAATATCAACCAAGTGACTTGTAACCTGTTGTACCTTGTACGTTGGTGCTCTCGTAAGTCGATATAAAAATAAAATGGAAATGTAGCTTTGTGATGGTACACATAGTTTAAACCCTTCAAAATGAAGTTTAATATTTCAATTCATACAGTGAACCACCACTTACCGCGAGGGTTTGTTTCAGACTCACCCGCAGTAGGGGAAAATCAATGCTTGAGAGAGAGCATATAAAAACATGCCTTCATCCACCCATCCATTATCTGAACCACTTTATCCTCACGAGGGTCGCGGGCGCCTATCCCAGCTATCTTCGGGCAGTAGGCGGGATATACCCCAAACTGGATCCCAGCCAATCACAGGGCACACATAGTCAAACACACTCAGAGTCACACCTACATACAATTTAAAGTGATCAATAAACATACCGTGCATGTTTTTGGCATGGTGGAGGAAATCGGAGTACCAGGGGAAAACCCACGCAGGCATGGGGAGAACATGAAAATTCCACACAGGAAGGCACCAAAAGGCACTTTTTAAACAAAATGTATTTGAACAACAAAAAAACAAAAAAAAAAAATCATAAAATGTTTAGAAAATGCTGTGCATATTGTATGTAGTGTTGTGTTGTGTTGTGTTGTGTTAGATAAGCATGTGTCTTCAAGACGTTGCTGTTGGTGAAGCGTTGTATGATGTCGGTGACTCAGTGTATGAATTGGAGTGGGCAGCACCTTTTGTGTGAGTGTGCAGATTGTGTTTTACAGTTCTCCCAGCATTCAGTAATTTGCTGAGAAGTACATCAGTGATTGTGGCTTTCCTTTACCATGTGAGGGCATTATAGTATAGTCACGATATAGCGGGGGAACACTCTACTCGCTTTGTGACCGTGACCCTGCTACTTGGTGGTTGGGGTTTTCCCCTGAATTGTAAGATGACCTCACTACTGGACCAGCCAGCATCTATTTCCAACTACCAATTTGAAGTGTCCACCTTATGTCAAAATCAAACATCTTCATATGCTTGGTAAACAATACTCTCTCATTTAATGAGGACCCCCCCGCCCCCGCCCCCACACACACACACACACACACACACACACACACATTCACACGCGTATGTATGTGTGTTTCTCTTCTTTTTCTCCCTCAGAAACCCACAGGAGCTGCAGGAGGAGCCATCCCCAGGCGACAGAACGGAAAAGTGTTTTTGGGTATGTTGTGTTTGTGTCACCAACTTGGCTTGAGATGGAGGACTGTAGATCATGAGGTCATGAAGCTCATTGTTTCATAGCAAATTAATTGTATGGAGCTAGACAGTTTTTGCAAATATGTTGACCAATTTCATATTTTCTTCCATTTTCACGACATGGTTATAGTAATCAATTACAATTCCGTTACAGTAATTGGTTCAGACTTCTGTGAATTGTGAGGAATCCATTGCTGATGAGTTGATTAAGGCATTTCTATTTACAAAGTGTCAAACTCTGGAACTCACTCCCACCCGACATCCGAAATATTGACTCTCTTCCTATATTCAAAACTCATCTTAAAACCCACCTATTTAAAATTGCATATACAGTTTAAACTCATCGCTTTTATTATTTATAATTTTAGCTGTGGTTTTATTGCTCTTTTGATTGTAAAGTGTCCTTGGGTATTTTGAAAGGCGCTTATAAATAAAATGTATTTTTATTATTATTAAAGAATCAAATGTCAAAGGTGTACCTAGTTACAAAAAGCTACACAAATACAGTACATGCGATTATGTGAAAAAGGGAAAATGAAAAAAATTGCCCGAAAGAATTTTGATTTCAAAATAATAAACTCTCCCAATAATTTCAATATTATCACAACTCAAAATGTATGATTATTCAAGTCACTTCAATTCAAGTAATATTCAATTAAATATATGAACCAATATGTCCTTAAACCAAAATATGAAGAGATGAACAATAGAATTATTTAAAACCCTCTGAAGTTAGGACGGCCCACCGAGGGGCCCTCCGTCATCTGTCAAAACAAATCGCTGATGTACGTCGTCAGCTGAGTACATGTGTGAACATGTTATACATCTTTAAAAAGCTGAGTTTCTGGAGATCTGAATGGTGCCCAACATTTTACAATTGTCAAATTTGAACTGGAACTTGGGGAGACCTCAAGCTTTGATCCTGTAGTGTTTCAAGTCCTAATCAACATTCTAAATTCATTTTCAAGGCAGATTTTGTGAAAAGAAATTAGACGAAATTAAGATCCTTAATTCTTGATTTTTATTCTGTTTTCAAACATCCATAGTTCAGTGACAGGAGCACTTACACAGATTCTGACTGTTTGGGAGTGTGTTCTTTGGTTGATTCATATTTTTTAAATGAAGTTCATACTGTATTCACCCAGTATCCGTCTATTCAATTCATTTTCTCTAGTGGTTGTAATTAGGAACGCAGATGAGCTGCAACCTATCCCAGCTGATTCCAGGGGTAAGGCTAGACTGGTTGCCAGTCAATCGCAGGGCACCGAGTGTGGAGGTTAACCACCATTTGCACTCACATTCACGCGTTAACGTGTATGCTTTTGGAATGTGGGATGTAGCAGAAGTATAATAGCTGAAAAAAACACACACAGGTCGGCTGGAGCCGAGATTTCAAACCCCGAGTCTCAGAAGTGTGAGGCAGGCATGCCTTGTCAGGCATCACGGTGAAAAAGGAAAGAAAATCAGCAGCATAAGGTTAAGCCGGATAAAATCAGCGTATTAGTGATTTACGAAAATACCCTGCCATGCTATGTACTGCACTGTATGTTTACAGTGAATGAAATGATGGCTTAAAATATTCTTTTTGTAGCTTTTCGAAAATTTCTGTGGTCAGAAATGCCCCCGCTGTCATTGTTTGTTGCTGTAGGTGTCAGATATTTGCTCTAATCAGCCTCCTCCCCTTCTTCCCGTGTTCTAAATATAGGCCATTTATGTGTATGTGCGGTTAGTAACTGTTCTAAATCAAAGTGGCACATGCACAGCCATGGCCCGTAGGGTAGTTGGTTTACAGTGGGGCCGCCCCGTGTCGCTGGCCCATCAGCTGCCGCCACCTGTCAACCCACCCTGTTTCCAACTCTGGGCTGACACACTTCTATTGCCGTATGACGCTGCTTGGCAAGGACCGGGGGTCTAG